CCTTTTTTCTAAAACCTTTGAAATGAAATTGACCGTTCCTCGATGAATGAGATTTTATTGTTTATGTGGATGTTTAACAGGATAATTAGCAGTTGCAGGAAATGTTTATTCTGTTAAGCATCCACATAAAATAACAACAACTCATTCATTCAAAATGAAATTGACCCTATTTGAATTAATTATTTAATAAACCGAATAAAATAATAATTTTTTTAAATCAGAAAATAAATTTATCTTCAATTCAGATTAATTCTTCTCTTTCTGTTATTTTTATTTATCTCATATATCATAAGTTTTTTTTATCTAATAAAATAAAAAATGCTTCTGCGAAAAGATTGCTCAATTTGTTCCTATCTTGAGAAATTCCTATATATTTGTCAAAGATCTTCGGCCAAGATCTGCCGATGCTCGTTTTTCGTTTCCCTCCGCATCTCGTCCCTTTCCTCATCTTCCTCTGGTTGGTACGAGGCCAATTGCGTATATAAATGTTTCCAAGGGGCGCTGAAACAAATTTATTAGCTAGGGGCGCGCAGAAGAATGACCTCCGGTCTGCAACTAACGCAATTTGTTTGTTTGTTTTCATTCGCGTCTCTCTCGTTTAGTGCACCTAAACAAACGCCGTGATTTAAGAAGAAGTGACGTCACTCATTAGACCTGTCAATCGGCGCGAGTTTACTTCTCGCCGTAAATAACCAGGGCCAACCGAAATGATCCTGCCCTTGCAGAGGCGTGACTGCATAACTTATTTTGGGCGTGCAAGACTTTTGATTATTTTATGAAAAGAAGACGCACGAAATCTAAAAATACACAAAAGAGGCTCCAGCGCCGCGGAATCGAAATGATTTATAAAATATAACAAGAGGATGCGAGTCGTTCTGGAAACAATTACTTTTTCTGACCATTTTCGGCTGCTCGCCACAATATCTCACCCGAATCTGATGAGCCGGGCGAGGCACTCGAATCCACCTTCATAAATAATTCATGCTGGTTCCGAGTGTATAAAAGAAAAATGAAAAGTTTTAATCTCCCCTGCTGTGAGTACTTTTCGAGTCACGCGTGATTTTTTTTGTCCACTTTGGTGGGTAGACGGGGTGAGTCAGTGAAGGGGTGCGCAGTGCGCACCACCCTCGTCGGCGGGGCTTCCTCCGGTGATTCACGGGGCGAAACCGTCTGGTGGTGCTCCAGCACCAGCGTGACTCATTGTCGCGTACTTTGCGCGTACCGAGAGTGTACGTACGCATGCGTGTGTTTGGATGGGATGCTGGAGGAGGAGGGCGGAGGCCTCAGAGCGCCTTCAGACTCTCGACTGGCCGCCGGCCGGATACTCGTTGAAAGCCGCAAGCGTGCAGACCGACACCGAGTGAGTAAAAACAACGCAAGCCGCAATTGCTGCGCCGCTTTTTCTACAATTCTGGGCATTCTTTTAACGCGTTCGGCCGGAAAATTTTGGGGTTTTGCTGTCGCCGGAAATGGCTCTTTTTTATATATGTTTGAATTGTAAAAAAGGATTCTTGTTTTGTTCGGAAAGCGCAAGGGGTGCGAAATTGCAAATTATTTGCACGGTGCGGGACACGCCCTGATGCGCATGTTAAATTTGCACACGCTTGTTTTCATTACAATTGATTTGTTTAACATAACTTAAATTACATCTAATCTAATCTATTCACAATTTAATTTTTTTTATTTTAAATTTAATTTTTTTAAATCGTCTTCCTCAAAATTTGGATTCATTGAAGAGGATTAATTTAATTTGAGAAAAGTTTTAAATTAATGATTGAAAAAAGTAAAAAAAGAAATTTAAATTATCTTTTCTTTTGAATAATTTGATTTCCTTTTTCTTCAATCATTAAACTTTGAACTTAACGCAAGTTAAGTTTTTTTAATTGATTCTTATATCAGAAATATAATAACCATAAATTAAAAAGTGAATATACTTAAATCTAAATATAATTTCTGTAATTATTAAAACTTTTGACAAATAATTTGCTAATTACTGACATTTTTATAACTTAAAACACTAGTTTTCGACCTGATTTTAAAAAAAAAAATTGAATTAGAAATTATATTAAATTAATCACCGCTTTTGTAACTTATCTTATTTGTTCTACAAAAATTCACATAAATTTTCCTTGCAGTGCCTCCTTTGCATCTTAAATCCAATCTTGATTGCACACGACCGTCCGTAAATTTCCACCGGTGCTCATTAGCATTCAAAAAGAGGCGGCTTACTCTGTACCCATCTATCTTTCTCTCGCACCTCTGCCCGAGCCGGTCGCACTCCATTCGTGCATAATATACACTCCATGCAAAAGCAAGCCGGTTCATTATCTAATTACAAGAGGGGCTGCGTCGGCGTTAAGGAAGTGCCGGTCCTTAGCGGCGGCGGCGGTGCCGGCGGACGTGGCCGGAATAGCAATCGCTGCACCGGAAGATGGCCGATCGGGGACGGACTGCAGACGCCAAAAAGTGGCCGACGTGTCTGCGGTCGTCCCGATCGGGTTTCGCGCGGATCGTCTTTCACCGGTCCGCGGCACGCAACCGGCACATGCAGCGAGGGTGGCTTTTCCACCAATCCTTTCTTTGTTTCGTTAGAAGAGAGCAAAAGGGACATTAATGATGAAGTCAGTCGATCAGTATCTCTCGGTGCCTGACAAAAACATACAAAAACGATGTGTCCTGATTTCCTAGAAAGTCAAATTTCTGGGTTCATGCACATGTTTCACTTTCTTCGATTAATCGCAAATAATAATAAAAAACTGAAAAAAAAATAAATTTAAAATATTCAATAGAAAATTTTAAATTCCAAGTACTGTCTTTGAAATAATTAAATCATCTGAAATGCTAAATTTTGTTACAGAAAAGAAATGATTAGTCTAATTATAAAAAATTTATTACCATTTCTAGAATAATAAAAAAAGCTAAGTAATGAACATTTTAATTGATAACTAGATTAACATCTTATTTTATAAAAAACTTGAATTAATTCAGTGAAATTTTGGTGAAAAACTTAAATTATGACATACACGCAAGGCAAATTAACTCAAATTAATTTATGAATGTGAATGGCACAGTTAGTTGTTAATAAACAGACTGCTCTTTGTTTCGCCCTAAATTAGTTAATTCATTCCGCGAATCTAGGTAAATTTCTCTTGCTCGCCACGGTAGTGCACAAAAGACTCTAAATAATGAGCTCATTTTTTCGCCACTTTGATCGGCGCGTGACATCCCGCCGGCCGTGCATATCATTCCGCCCGCCGCCTTTCTAATCGACTGCTGACAATGTGAATGGGCCGCACCTGGCCGACTAACGAACTTGACAGACTGTCTCGCCGAAAAAGCTGCAAAAAAAAAATAACACGGGATGAGTCACAGCAGGAAGTCGATCGCGCGAAATCGGAGTTATGCAATCGTGCGAGCAGCGTGGTGCGGCGGGTCTGCCTAGCGTGGTGAATGAAAGGCGAATAACCTCGCGATCGGTATCACTCGCGTCTGCCGCCACCGAACAATGGAGCCGGCTGGTGTGTGGTACCGTTGTGGCTTCCTAATTCCGTTTTCCGTATGCAAACATGCGCGGACCAAAGCGTGGTCGCTCAATGGCAATTTCGGTAGCTTTATTGGCTCGGCAAACAACCCTCTTAACTGCTTTGTTATGCTTGGAAATTTCCATCCCAACGCTATCCCTCTTTTGTTAGGGGGAGAAATATTGTTTGCTGCAAATTTGATTGTATATAAATTGATGTTAAAAAAACAAGAATTTTATTAATTGATACTTTTATAAATTCTCTTAGTAATTATTTTAAATTTAAAAAAAAAATCAATTCAGTAAAATTCTGGAACCAATTTTGTTAAAATTAATATAAATAAAAGTTGGAAACCAGATATAATAATTGCTATTTTTAAATTTAATTGTAAATTTTATTTAAAATATGATAAATATATAATATAATTAGATGTGCTTATTTCTAGAGCATTTAATTAAAGGCAATTTTCCTCATATTCTAAAAATCATCAAGGCAAAATAAATTAAAATAAAATAATTATATTCTCAAATAAAAATACCTTGCCATGAACCAGAATTTATTCGCCTCTCGCCAAAATAGAAACTCTCGGAATGCAAAAAATGTCTCGTTTTATGAGTGTCAGAATCACGGCAGTTGGCGCAAAAATTGTTGGCTGGCGCTCAACTCGCATTCATCTCCTTCTTCTTTTTGCCGATCAACTGCAGTCGTTCACTCTGCCGAATTCGCCTCGATCACGAAGCGTGTCGGTTCACGAGTGTGATTCGCTCCGAGAATTTTGCCACAAAAGCTCGCTGAGCACGCGAGAAAGAAAGAAAGATGTGTCACGGTGATGAAAGAAAGTGCTAAAAGCTGAGATGTACACGCGTCTCTTCTCGTCCTGCGCTGGAGGAGAGGAATAAAAAAAAAATGCACACCAGTCGTCCTTTGATCAAAATGCGGGATTACATTTCAATCGTAATTGCGGCAATAAACAGAGCATTTGAATCGCTTCGGGTTTCTTTCTGCCGACATTCGAGCCGCGCGCAAATAATCATAATGAAAGCAAAAGCGTACACGAGCGAGGGAAGAAAAAAAAACGACGACCCAGGTTGGGCGCGGTCGTTGACGAGTAATTACACAATCGTCGCTGCGGTGGAGGAGCCGCCTTTTGTTTATCCTTGTGTTATTGTTTGTCAAGCAGATTTTTCAGGCCAATAAATTAAGGCGCCTCCTCAAGATTAGACTTCTCAACTCGGTTCCTAAAATTCCTCGCGTTCGAAAGCATTTGTTTTGAAACCTAAATGTCTTTTCTTCAAAATATTTGTCTATTAAAACAGTTTGGAATTTCAACCAAAGAATTCAATTTCCTCAACAATATAATTGAAAAATCAGAATAAAGAGGTTGAAATTTTACTTAAGATATGTTAAATGAGTAAATTTTCAATTAATTTTTGGAATTGTTTTCAAAGCTGGACTAATTTATTCTTGATTTTGTTGCAGAAAACCTAAATGCTGTTTGTTCTCGGCTGATCAACCTTGCGAAGCAGAACGGCTCAACAGACGACATCTCAGTAATCGTCATCTTCCTTGGTGACCCGCAAGAGCTAGCCAAGAAACCCGCAGGCTACGGCATGGACTCGCAGGACCTGATCGACGCCGCGCCCGCGTCACCCCCACACGTCAACGGCAACAACCAGTGGCGCAACCCGTACAGTTTCGAACAGACCGGACAAAAGCAGCCGCTCGCCCTGCACACCTTCGGACGCAATGACCTCGACCTCGGCCCCGAGACCAACATCGACAACATTGGAGACTCTGACGACGAGGACGAGGAATTGAAAATCATTCAGCAGCAGAGCTCTCGGTACGACGGAGCCAGGGACCCCCAAGAGGACACACCAACCCCGCCTGCTGACCAGGGTACATTTTTTTTAATCTCGTCTCAAATTAAAAAAAAAAGCTATTAACTTTTAGATTGAGTTTCAAATTTCTGCTTTGCTGAGTGTTTGTGTACTGCGCTTGGTGGCTGTGCTGGTTTTAAATTCTTATTGAGAAATTCCCTCCTAAACATTCCGAGAATCCAAAATATTTCCTATCCAATGAATTAGTAAACTTAATAAATATTAATATTTAAAAGAATGGAAAAAAAATTAAATTCATTTTTAAATTAAATGTAAATTTGAATTAATTGTAAGTAACACAAGCAGTAAATTCTGAATAGTTCCTTTTTTATAATAAACCATTAAATTAATTTAATAACAAAATATTTTGCACCAAAAATTGAATACATTTGAAAGCTTGCATAAAAAACTCCCAATAACAAGATTTAATCTCGTAATAGGATCTAAAAACAAATTAATTTCCATCAGCACTGAGTTGTTATTTTACGTAAAATCCTAATCGAATTAGGCCCCTACCCATTGTCATCCCCTAATCCTCCCTCACATTGAGTTGCGACGGCAAACAGAACAATTCCCCTAATCGAAACCTCGTTCTCTCGTCTTCCGCACTTGCACCGGCTTTCGAAATCAGTGCTGCAACCGGCGTAATTGATTCGCCGTGCACTGCCACCCCTAGCTGCACTTAGGCTCCCTCTGGCTTCACGCAGCCAGTCACTCATCTCGGCGTGCCCATTCGGTCCCAGAATAGCCGGCCAGAGTTAAATTAAGCCCTCTCGCATCCCCCGGCTGGTGGCAAAGTCGGCGCCCCGCCTGCATTCATTCATTTGTTCTCTCCAAAAACCCGAACCGTGTCTCGGAGTTCTGCTGGAAAATCGCAGAAATTCGTCACCAATCGTCGACTTTCGAAGAAAACCCCCGGAAGCGTTTTGTCCGCAGCGCTATTTCCGTCCCGTCGACGTGGCGAGAGCGCCTCGCTCGGAGTGGACGCCAATTAAGTTGGAAACCACCCGGCTGGTGCGGTCTTCTCGTTTTATTTCATTAGGAATCCGTAAAAGCGGCCGACGTGCGGCGAAATCGTGTCACCTCCAGCTCAGTCGTTCGCGTGTCTGCCGCTTTCTCACTGCAAATTGCACCCTGCTGGCCAAGCACGCGGCCAGAACCAACCCGAAAATTTTCGCAGCAACGGTGAGCACCGAGGGGGGCGGAGCACCAGCCGCACGCTTTTGTTCGTGTGTTGGCCTGCAATTATCCACTAAAATTCTCAGAATCCTGCCGGACCCACCCTTAATAATTTGTCATTTTTATTATTAAATTCTCCTTTTCTTGAGAAATCGTAATTTTTTCAATTTTTTTTCTTTATAAAAATAAAAGCTTCTGCGTACTGTCTTTTTTAGTTAATATTTTTTTATAATCCTCTGTCGGTTAATGCGCATCTCGAGGGGCTTAATGGGGCGGTGAACCGGATAGGGGATGCAACCCTTCTCTCAGTCGTTCTCCCCCATTGTTCATTTCCGTGATTTCTGCCATCCGTCAGTCAATATCGTTTTTTTCCTGCGTGCGACTTTTTGTTCTGCCTTTTCTTCTTTTTGCATAATTTTTTTTCGCGAGGGCCCCTTTTTTATTATTACGATTTTTTTCCGTAACCTGTTGTTTGGCCGCCTCCGCCGTCGCCCCCACGGTGATGCAGATTGCCCGTGGTCCTAAACGGCGCGCCTCATCGATCGGCGCGGGCGGGCGTGGCCCTCAAAAGCAGAAAAGCAGCCGGTCGGCTCCACATCATAGCGCACGCACATAACCACTCTCATAACTCACTAACAAAACAGCTTTGTCTAATTTTGCTTCTTTTGTCTCTGTCCTCAAAGTATTCGGAAAATTCTCAGGTAAGTTTCAGGTTCGCCACATGCACGCTACGTAGGAGCTTTTGCACTTTTAATGCTCAGAATCTTTTGCAACTCTAGTCATTTTTCTATTTCTTTCATTGAAATGGAATCCCTGAGCTAGGAAATGGTGGTTCACAATGAAACCAAAGATAATTTTATTCATTTTATTTATTACAGTAAATTCTGAAGAAATCTCAATAAACATTACTTGTCTTTTTTCCTTTTTCCTATCAAATTCTTAAATTAATTTTTTTTTATTTTCAACAATTTAATGCAAACAATGTGATGCAACATTTTGAACGAATAAACAACAATAATAATAATTAAAGAACAATCTAGAAATGTTAAATTTACTTCGTTAGCATAGACATTGATCTGAATGTTTGAATACCAATGAAATATATCTTGCATTTTTTTTTCTCTGAAAACTAATAAAAATAAAAATTAATTTCCAGCTGGAAGTGCTGATGCTGCATGCGGATTGGACCCTGACGCTGACAATGAGAGCGATTCTGACGGCGACGAAGACTGGCAGTACATCAAAGTAGAGCCCAGCAAAGAGGAGCCGTGCGAGCAGTTGCTGCCTCAACACCAGGCCGAGCAGTTGCCGCTGCCCGTTGACCCCGAAGAGGAGAAGAAGGACGAGCCTAAGCCGGTGCTCGAGGACGAACTCCTCGCCGGTCTCGTCCAATCGCAGGACAATCTTCAACTTGAGCAGCTCAAGGATAACTTTGAGTTCAGTCTGGAAGTTGAAAACAAGCAGAGCTCCGAACTGCCCGCCGAGGAGCTGCAGTTCGAGCAGGAAGAGAAGCAGCTCGCCGAGGAGGCATTCACTACAGAGGTGAAGCTCACCATCGGCGACCTCGCCCAGGAGACCTCTGAGTTTGAAGAGCAACCCCCTCAGAAGCAGCCGGAAGAGCCGGTCCAGCAGTTCGAAGAAGAACTCAATAAACTCCAGATTGAAGAACCACAAACTTTCTCAGACGATCCACTGCAAGTGAAGGAACAGCCAGAGGGATACAAGCAGGTTCCGAGCAACCTTGACCTCCAGGTAAGAAAAAAAAATATTAATTTTACTTATTTTTCATTTTGCTCAATTTTAATCAAGAAATACTCTTTAAATGTATTTCATTCAATTTAATGAGAAAAAAAAACATTTTTTGTTTTGTTTATATTCAATTTAAGTAATTTAGTTAATCGTTTCTGTCATTTTTTTCAGTTGTTTGACCCCGACATGGACTACAAGTTGAATCCTGACGCCAAAGAATTTGTCCCAGTGCACTCGCCCACAAGGGAAACCTTCCCAACCTCGACCACTCCTCTCAGTCCGGACGCTCCCAACTTTGAGCCCCTGGTCGAGCACAACCCCATTGATCTTGTCACCACCTCAGCCGTCGCCAACGACCTCTTTGGCCTGAACGGCTTCGAAGCAGACAGACCCAACTTCCAGGAAGATCTGAACCCCTTCACCATGGACAATTCTCCCTTTCAGGTGGAGAACTCTGTGCAGATGGCTTCGCCCTCCTACGGAGTGGTCGAAGCTCCCAGCTTTGCTGTGCTGGAAACTGTTGGCACCCCTGACGCTCCGGTCATTGCTCCGATCCCAGAGGCTGTGGCTTGGCCCTCTGAGGCAGAAATGGAGGCTGAAGGACCTCAGACGATGGTGGACGAACTTTTGCTGGAAGCTGCCCCTCTATCTCCTGTCAAGGACGACTTCGGTCCTCCTGCTGGACTGGCCGAGGTGCCTCAGTCGCCTGTGAAAGAGGAAGAAGTTCAGCCTCTCACCCTGGACTTTGCCCTAGACCAGCCACCAACCTTGGCCGAAACTCCAATTTCGCCTGCCAAGGACGATTTCCTCGTCTCCCCAGTGCAGGAGGACTTGCCGGCTTTACCGGTGCAGGTCGAGTCACCCTATCAAGAGGAGAAGATTGTCATTTGTCCCGTTTGGCCTAAATCTCCTGATACAGAACCAGTGTCTTTGCTCATGGAGGAACAGCCCAAGGATGAAACTTTGCAGCCTGACCTGCTTGAAATTGTGAGCCAGAAAATTGCTGCCGTTCCTGAACCAGAGCCTGTGAAAGAGGAGATTTTGATCCCTGAGGAGGTCAAGACGGTCGAGGAGGAAAAACCAGTAATTGAAGAGGAAATAGTAGAAGTCGCTCCTTCTGCCCCAGTGCAATCGGAGCTTGAACTGAAAATCCAGGAAGATGAACCTAAAGTGAATGACTCGCTGACAGAGGCCACGGCTAATCTCAAGATTGACACTCCAGAGGAAAATAAGGTATTAAAATGCTTATTTTATTATCAGGAAAATTGGATTTTTATATCGATTTTAAATTTATCCATACATAAGCAGTTTAAAAACAAATTAGGAGTTATTATGATGAAAAAATGAAGCAATAGAAAGAAAATTTTAAACAATAATTGAGAAAATTTTTATTTCGCTATGTCTAGTTCAAAGTTAATCAAATTTATGATGAGCTATTTTATAATTAATTGATAAGGACCACCCTTCCATGTACATTAATCTCTACAAATTCCCTCAATTATCATTCTTCCAAACAAAGAAAGATCAAAGATAAGAATTTGGCACTATTGCCTCCTTTTGAATTGTTCCCCATAAAGAACCTATCAATCATTTGTCTACTTTTACTCCACATCTTATCTGAGCGCGAAAAATATCCAGTGATAACTCTTTGTCAGAAATCTACCAACTACACCTCCGCAATGAGATTTCCTGATTTTCAACTGCTGTTTTTGCAGGTACTGGAGGCAGCCGTTGTCGCTGGAGCGGCCACCGCTGTTGCTGCGGCTGCGGCAACCGTGGCCGCCACCTCGCCCAAGAAGACAACAGACTCCAAGGCGCCACCGACCAAAAGAGCCTCACCCACTAAACCAGCAAGTCCAACCAAATCCGCAAGTCCCACCAAGCCCGCCAGCCCTCTGAAGGCGGCCAGCCCCACTAAACCAGCTCCATCGGCGGCCAAACCAGCGGCCAAAACCACCACAAGCAAGCCTGCCACCACAGCTGCTGCTTCGACCACTCCCAGGAAACCTTCGGTGACTGCAAAGACTCCTCCTAGCAAGCCCGCAACCCCCAGACCGGCCCCTGTGGCCGCCGCCAAACCGACCACCACCACAGCGGCCGCGGTCAGAAAGACCTCTGCAAGCACCACGGCCACTGCTAGACCCAAACCAACATCCACCACGGTCACCAGCACCGTCAAGGTCACTCTGACAGCCAACAAACCAGCAGCGGCCAAACCGGCCTCCACCTTGGCGGCCAAACCCAGGCCCGCTTCTGCCACTGGAACTGCCAAAGCGGCCACCAACGGAGACGTGCCTAAAACCACAGCAGCTAAACCGGCGGCCACGAAGCCCGCCGCGGCCAAACCTGCGGCCACCAGGACTACAACCGCTTCTCCCAAACCGGCCGCCCCGACAGCCAGACCCTCGAGCAGGACCACCCCAACAGTCTTGAACGGCGTTGCGGCCAAGATGACCAACAGACCAGCCTCGGCCACTTCAAACTCCGTGGCCGCGGCCAGAAAGACTTCTTCGACCACAGATGCGGCCGCCAGAAAAACTTCAGGCACAGACGCGGCCGCCAGGAAGACCTCGGCCGGAACAAGGCCGGGATCACGAAACACCGGCACGGCCAGGCCTGCCGCGGCCACCAAGACGGCCCCTGCGGCCAAAACCTACTCAACGGCCCCGAAGCCAGTGACCAAGACAGGCGCAAACAAGCCGGCGGCCAAGACGGAAGTCAAGCCTGAGGAGCAGCCGGCCGAAGTGGTGGTGGCCAAGGAGGAGGCGGCGGCGGCCGTCGTGGAGGAGCCCAAGGTCAACGGCAACCACGTCGAGGTGGCCGAGCTGATTTGAGAACGTCACGTTTTATTTACAGAGACAGAGACTTGCTGCATTTAGTGCATCTTATTTTTATTTTACAATCATTGATTATCTTATTTAGTAATTTAAGGTGCTTTTGTTGAATTTATCCTTGATCAGCACAAAAAGATGAGAAAAATTGTTTACTATTACCACGAAAATGCGTTTCTCCTCTCGAACCGTTTTCCTCGCCCCCTTTTTATCTCAAGTTTAGCGTTTATATTGTGATAAGTTGTGAGCAAATAGTCGACGAAAAAACAGCCTGTCTAAGGTGCCTTGTGTCTCTCCTGCTCCTATCTGCTCTCACTTGCTTCCCAAAATCACACACACACAACCACACTCTTCGTACTCTCCTTTAGTTTAAAAATGTACTCCCCTCTCGTGCGTAAGATGATTATTTATGAACTCTGAATTTTTAACGCAGTGTAAAACTCGATTTCAAGTGTAATCAAACGTAAAATTTTGGAATTCGCGTTTCTTTTGAATGTGATAAGCGAATATACTTCTTTAAAGTATGAATACATTTGTAAAACATTAAAAAAAAAATGTTCGTTTTATTTAAAAACCAAAAATATCCTCCAGTGGTTTATCACTAGCAAATAAATCTTGGAATATTAATATGAAACTCTTCATTGCCTTAATTTTCCAAATCAATTGAAATTATAACCGAGCTTTGAATACAATTTTTCATCAATGGTTGCGAAAAGACTCAAAATCTGGTGGCAATATCCGTCGAGTTGTTAAGACTTTCTCGTAGAGATGGTGCTGCTGCACCTTAAAATAATATCTAAGAAATCTAATACTGGCTAAATATTCAAGTATTTATTAAAATACTTAGTCATACGAGTCATTAGGGAGGAACAAAAGAATATATTGTCTGAAGAGAGGTGCATCGGTCGGCTGGAAATATAGGTGAAGTAAAGGTGATACAAATATTTTTTACGCCGGCTTGAAGCGTTCTTTTTGACGTCACATCTCCACTATTTTTTCACTTGATTGCTCGCTTGCACACCAGATTTTCCGGGAAAGCCAGGTGTCGTCTTGAGGCCCCGTTTACAAAGTTTTATTTCCACTAAAGTCGCTCCATTTCATGTGTCATATTATTTCTTTAAAAGTGTTCTGCCTTCATTTGAACGTTTCAAGAAGGTTACATTAATTAATATTTCAAACTCTGATCTACTTTTATAATCTAATTTAAAAATTGTTTTTTTAATTTTAGAAAATCTGTTTTCATTTCTGCTTTATTGATAATTCATTTAAAATCTTTTACTTAATATTGTATTGTAATATTTTAAAAGAGTTTTGCGTTCATTATACAGTTTTACAATTAATGTTGTACAAACAAACAGTAGCACATGTTTTAATCACTCCATTTCCTTTAAGAAAATGTCTACAAAAGAGTGCAATGTTTAATCAGGTGTATACATTATACGCACGCATTGTTTGCGGTGCATTCACTTCAGAGGGCTTCTCTCTGCTCGGGTGGCACTGAGTTGTGCAAGGTTTTTCCTCCATTGCAATTGCACTTCCCGATGAGGAAAGTGCATAGAACAATAAAGTATAAACTTCATATCTTTACCCTCTCTGAAATAAGAGTAATGGCTTCATTGCAGCTCAGCTTGTAATTAGTTGTGTTCTTATTTATCACATGCCTAATTGCCTTGGCTTGTATAAGATACATTAGGCCTAAGTTCCAAATATGTGCTCAAAAAATAAATAATTGACAAAATGAAAAATTACTTAATAATCAAATTTTTCCTCATATTCAAGATATTCAGCAGGTTTTTTTAAATTCTATTTGCTTATGATTAATTAAAGAGTAAAGTCTAAAATTTAAAAACAATTTGCATTTTATTAATTTAAATTAAAATGTTTTAAATAATAGGAATAATAACGATTGTAGTTTTGAGCTCGCCAAATAATTTAAAATCAAGTTGAAATTGTTTTAATCAGACTTTATTCCCTCTCTTATTTCACAGTTTCTTGTTCGACTCCTTATCCTAGTGAGAAACGACGTTATTTATTTTCTTTTGAATGAAAACTTTTCTCTGAGCTTTTTTGCTAATTCCACTGCTATTTGTATTCAGACAAAAAGTGGTGGCCAAACAAAAGCAATCTACGCAGAAGTGCTAATGAACGCTCTTCTGTTGTTGGTCAAATAGGCAAAAGCCATTATTCGTTTGTCACCCGCTGCGAGAAAGTGGCGAAACTCACCGCCGCCGGCCAAGAGAATTATTCCGACTTCTGAAAATTACCATAACTCAGCGCGCGCACACACAACACACAAACTTCTGTCTGCGGAAGAGATAAGCACAGTTCGACTGTCCTCTTGGGTGCCCATCTGTTGGTTCAAAATCAACAGTCCGATGAATAGTAAGGAAGGTAAAGCCAGAAAGGAATGCCCAGAGGCTATTCCACAGAGAGGACCTTGATTTGCTGGAAATAAACTTCACTAACTATCTTGGAATCTTGGGATTACTTTCTACAAATTCTTGGCAGGTTATATAGAAATATAAATATTTATGAGGGTTAATCCTCTCCTTTTTACCCTGTCCTGAAAGTGGCCCCACCCCCACCACTTTTTAATGTTCCGCAAACAAATAAAATCGTTTTTGTTCCCTTCGCTGCCCCTCCTTTTGCGCTCGGCCAAGTGCAAGCGGCAAGCGCGCAAAACCTGAGGCTATTTTTATTGTTTCCATCACTTCTCGGTCGCGCGTCGCGCCTGCCTTTTCCAAATGAGTCATCACCTTGATCACCTTTGATTTAAATTTGCTTTATTTAATGAGGCTCCACCTCCAAGTTCACCCCTTCTGCCCTTGCACCAACGTTTTGGATTTGCCTCCGCGCAAACTTTGGTATAACTGAGTCATTTTCCAACTGCTAACCTCTCTTAGCAACATAATTTCCGATAATTTCCACCATTGACCCAGTTCTCATTTGATGTTATTTATTTATTTTCTTATTGAACAAAAGAAAGAAATAACTTTTATTTAAGCTTCTCTTCAGTTATTTTCTTCTGGCAGCATTAATTTTAATTTGAACATTTTTAAAGCCAATTAAAATGAGGTGCTGCCAATAATGGGTGAGCGACTGGCCCATGGACTTGATGGATCCATGGACTGGCCGCTGGAAAAGGAGAATGCTGTACTGGCTCTGGCCGGCGTGGCGGCCGAAGGCTGGCAGCAGGACACGGCGCCGCTCGAGGACTGTCCTGAAGACGAGGCAGCGTCACAGCCCCGTCCCATCTCCTTCGGCTGTTTTTGAAAAGCCTTTTAAATTTAATAAAATTTATCATAATAATTAATACATATATTAAAGAAAAAAAAATTTTGCAGTGGATTTGTCAGTCGACTGAACAGCAACTGTGGTGGCGCCGGTTGGACGGACACATCGAAGGAAGGTTTCCGTAAAGGTGGATTTGCGTGGCCTTCTCTGTTTGTGACCTCAAGTCGAGGTCATTCCCTCACCGCACCTGGAAACCAAACCTGAGCTCCTCCTTGGACCTCTGCAAAAGGTAGGTGGACCTTTTTATATCTGTTTTTTTTTTAGAGATTACCAAAATTTTCAAGAGAATCCGAATTTGTTTTGCACATTTTTATCCTTTTTTTTTTTTATAAAGAAATCAAAACTTATGGCCAATTATTAGCTGCACACTTTGAAAGCGCAAAACGTGTGTATCGAAAATTTTATTCGAGCCGATATGCGAGACACAAATATTTTGAAACAAAACAATCTCGTACCACGATTTTAGAAAAGTTAATAATTTTCAATAAAAATAATCTTCCATTGAAGAATTTACTATTATTATCAAGTCTCCTGAGAACTCAACTTTTTCCCTTCGCTGCCTGAAAATGGAAAATCTGGCTTGAAAATTCCAAGGAAAAAGTGCTCGGCCGAGTTCAAGAATTTGCGTTCTTCGTCTTTAACTTTTGTCCGATAAAATTTTGTTTCTTTTGTTTTGCTTATCCTGTGCCATCTCTGAAAGAGTAAAGTAAAAAAAGCAGTGCTGGTGTCAAAGAGGCGTCTCGGGAGAGATAAATCCTGCCCAAGAACTTAAATAATTTGGACCATCATTCAATAATTTGTAGAAAATCCTATCTTTGACATAGTACTCCGCAAAATATTGCCTCAAAACTCGTTTCTTCGTATGTTAAAGTGAATGAAATCGAGTTAGAAAAATGTTTATGACCCTCAAACGTGTTCCTTGAAAACCCTGCTATAGATTTTTGGCTCAAGAAATTGAAGGCTCACCGCGGAAAGTTCAAGTAAAGAATGATAAACGTGGCTTGTTGCATTTTACTTGTTTTTTAGAGCATTTGAAATTAATTGATTTCCGCTTGTAAAAGAATTCATCATTAATGTTCATATTTTGCTTGATAAATGACTCAGGTGATGAAAATATTTCATATTTGTCAAATTAATCAATGCGGCTGCATACTTTTTACTGTCGGTGAAAATGAAAACTCGTGCTGTATTTTTTCTTAAATGACAAATGGTGATCTTATTAGCTTTGAAAAAATAAAAATAAATTTATTTCGTTTTGAAAGAAATTTTAATCTTATTGGTCAGAATAAATTGTATGAAAGTACAAATTAGAAAAGGTGCGTCTCGTGGTTTGACTAAATTTAACGTCAATTACTGTTAATTTCAATGCAAACATTCGCATTTCGACCTGCATTTGCACTTTTATGTGGAACTCCATTCACTCATTGGCTTCAGGGTCTATCAAATCATTCAAATCATGTGTCGAGCTGCCCATTTCCTCCCCATGCTACCCTGGCCCCACCTTTTGCCTCCATGTTATTTGGGAACTTCCACTTTCGCCAACTTCAACTTAGTAAACTTCATGACACTTGTGTTGATCCTTTTACGATTTGAATTTTGAACATTTAATTTTTTACACTCTTAAGAAAATCCTCACTAGCCGCTTGCAAAGCAGTTTTTCCATCTAAATTTTGCACTGATTCATCGACGCCTTTTCCGACGAACCATTCGTAAATCTTGACTTTCCCACACCCGCTCTTGGCCACAAGATGCAGTGGAGTTTCATTTCTTTTGGTCCTCTCCTTGATCAATCGCGGATTTTTCTTGTGCAAATATTCCAAAAGCTCGAGCTCAACTTTCCATGAAAAAGAAGCAGCGAAGTGCATAGCGTTCCATCTGTTTGCTGGCCAAAATGTGTTGGAAATCACCACATATTTCAATGTTTATTTTGTTTCGGCGGCGTGCGCGAGCTGATATCAGTGATTTCCGTCGCGTTTTCGGACTTTTGGGACTGGTTGAAGTCGGCTGATGATAATTTGAGGTAGGATTAGGACATTTGATGATGCCTTTATTCATTTTTCGTGAATTTAACCGTTCAATTCTTTAATAATTGTTGAAAAAGAGACTGAAAATCAGCGTCTCTTTTCTTGCATATCGCGATCGCGGGATATAAACAAGACCGTACAATGGGGCGGCTATTGAGTTTTAAAATTTTTGAAAGGGAGCTCGTCAGCTGTGAAAAATTACCAAATTATCTCTAGTATATTTCAAATATTTCCATTTTTAAAAACAAAAAATTGCATTAATTAAGCAAAATAAATAAAATTTCATCGTTTGAACTTTGCATTTTCATGCTGTTTAGTGTTAAAATATATTTTGATTATTTATAGATTGAATACACCAAGAAAAAGTTTTATCAATTAGAGGCTCCTTGGCGATACTAAATTTGAGCCCAGTCGGCGAGGAGCGAAATCGTGTTCAATTTGAGAAATACCTCTGCTGCCGCGGATCGAATGATGATCAAATTGAGGACGGCCGCCGCTTGCAATTTTCCAACTTCAGCGGTGTCGCCGGTGATAAGCGCTCTGGAAATACTGTTCGTCTTTGAAAAATTTGTTTTTAATTTTACGAAACCTAATTAAATTTATCCCTCAATGCAATGATACAAATTAAAACTCAAAATTTTCCTCGACGTTGTGAAACAATTAAGGGTTTGCAAAATTCCATTTTTCTCATAAAATTTAAAATAGAAAAGTATAAACTTTAATATGATTTTTTAGAGAAAGGCACAGACTTTCTTTCCGCAATTGTAATTTTTGTGGTAAAATAATTTTTTCACATTTTAAAGAATGCTCAAAAATAATATTTTTTGACACGCTGAATGGCTATTTTGGAAAAAATCTTAAAAATTTATTTCTGACTTAAAAAATGAAATTTTATTTTTGAGCATTCTTTAAAATGTGAAAAAATTATTTTACTACAAAAATTACAATTGCGGAAAGAAAGTCCGTGCCTTTCTCTAAAAAAAAATCATATTAAAGTTTAAACTTTTTTATTTTAAATTTTATGAGAAAAATAGAACTTCGCAAACCTTAATTTTTCACAACGCCGAGGAAAATTTTGAGTTTTAATTTATATCATTGCTAAGAGATAAATTTAATAAGGTTTTATTAAAACAAATTTTTCAAAAAGTTGAACATTTTTTCCAGAGCGCTTACCACCGGCAGCGCCTTTGAAGTTGGAAATTGGAAGCCGCTGCCTGCCGCAAGCGGCGGCCATCCTCAATTTGCTGGATGATTTTTTTTAGTCGTTTCAGAAAAAATGAAATAAAAACATTTTTTATCTGCCGGCTGCAGCCATAAGTCATTGGCTGAGAATTATTTGGACAAAAAAACAATTTTAAAGAAAAAAACTAAAGTCAAAACATTTAGAATTAATTGGGATATTTTTTTCTACAAAACAATTAATTACTCCAAAATCCCATCATCATCATCAGCCGTGTTTTAAGTTTTATTTAAATAAAACTTTATATTAGAATCAAATTTAAAAAAAAAAATCAAATAAAAATTTTTTGAACTTGTGTTTTTTTCAAAGAATAAGTAATTTAAAATTTTGTTCATCACAATAAATTGTAAATTTATGATAGCAAAATGCCCTGAAAATTTAAGACAAATTTGCATATGTGAATTAATTAAGACAAAGAAAAAAGGCGACAAAAAAATTGAAATAAAATATACCCGAAATTTCTCAAAATGCCACGCCCCTTTTTGATTTTGGGCTGAACACATAAAACTTCTTCATGACCACCGACCGCCTCTGATCTGTTGTCATCCACGGCGTCTAACTCCAAGATTAATTCTTCCGCCAGCCATTCAGAGACGTCAATATTTCCTCTTTTTACGGCTAAAAGGAGAAATGATTCGTTTTCCTTAGTTTTTTGCATGACTAAATCAGCATCATAATAATGTAAAAAATTGCACATTTCAATTTTCCTTTCTAGAGCAGCAGAACCACTCACTGATAAATGCATAGCGTTTTCCTCTTTATCCGTTAAGGTCTTGGTAAGCTTGGGGTCCTTTTCGAGAAAGTATTTTAACAACCTGAGATTTCCTTTTTTGGCTGCACAGTGAAAAGCGTTCCGCCCTGTCCAATCCTTTTCACGTACTTGGAAACCACGCTTTTCCACCAGCCAGCGACACAAAATTTCCAATGCGTCGTCAAAATCTTCGCATGTCGCAACATCAAACAAGGCACTGCTGCTCACTTCAAATTCTTCATTTTCCTCATCTCCGAATCTTTCGAGCAAATATTTTGCCACTTCAGCATTACAATATTCATCGTCAAGCGAACGATTGAAAATTCTCGACGCCAATTTCAATTCCGGCTCGTCCTTTGTCTTGAGCAGTGCTTCCGTCGTCTTTGAATTTAAATGGTCAAAGTTACTCTCGTCAAGGCTGGCAGTTCGAGCGCCGTGTTCAATCAGAACCTCAACGCACTCGGCGCTGTTTCCTCGTACAGCAGATTTCAGAGCCACTTGTAATTCGCCTTGATCCAAAATTTTTTGTTCAAGCACCAGAAACAATACTTTGTGATGATTTCTGTAGGCTGCAAGTGTGTAGGTCTTTTTAATTTTCATATTATTCCGCACCAAATCCATCGAACCGGCGAATTTTTTCCCCATTTCAGTAAAAAGTTGAGCAAAATTATTTTCAATTGCATCTCTCAGTATTTCTACGGCTGCTCTGTTTGGATCTTCCAACTTTTCATACGCGCCTTTCTTCAAAAGACCAAGTGCACAATTTTCTACACGTTTGCTGGCCAAAACCAAAATTTGGTCGCTCGTAACGTAGTTTAGTTTTGATTCTTCGGCATTGAAAGTAACGAGGTTTGCTGCAGCGCTGGAGAAATTAACGAGACGTTCTTCAAGAATAACATTTTCGATGCTTGATTTAGTGAGACTATTTTTCAAGTATTTTTCTAGCGAAGTTAAGAAATTTAATTTTTCGTCACCGACACTCATGGAAATTCTCAAGTCAACAAACTTTCGCACTTGACGGAATTCTTCGTTCAAAATTTCAAATGGCCTTTGAGGGTTTTCGAATCCGTCGAACAACAAGCAATCGATGAAATGCGCTGCCACGAGGAATTCGGCGAACGTTTGGTGAACAAACTGGGCGCGTCCGTTGCTGATTGTTACAATTCCATTGTTGGGATATTTTAAAATATCAGTTTTGTCACCGCATAAAAATTTAACAGCAGCAATTCTCAGTTCCCTTTCACAAATATTTAATTCCTTCTCTAATATGATGCTTTGCAATTCTTTCAGCGCGAAACGTAATTTTTTCTCTAAAATTTTTTCGTAGATTTCGTACAAGTCGATCCCTTTTTTGTAATCTAAATCGCCGAGTTCAGCAATCATTTTTAAGTGAAGAGGGTTTCCCAGAATATCTTCTAAGCCGTTCCTTCGGTAGAAATAGATCTGAAGTTTGCATTCCTCTTCTGATTTGTGCGAAGTCATCATCAAAAAATCAATTTGCTTCCTCCAATCTAAAGGTAAAATTTTTAACTTGAAAACTTGGTTTCCCTTTCCGAGCTTTGAAAGAATCGCGACTTCCTCGTGCGGTTGCGTTGAAATCAAAATTGGAACTTTTTTTTCCACCGCCTCAGCCAAAACGTCGAGCACTTGATCACGGTAAAAGGGGCACATTTCGTCAAATCCGTCAAGCATCAACATGATCTTCTTCTGCTCGATAAGATTTTGAATTTCCATTTCCCTGATTCTAGTCGCAATCGAAACAACGGAAGCAAGTGACGGAACTATTCGTCTTTCCGTTTTTACTTTGGTAAAAAGCCCGACGGTGTCTGAGAGGCCAACCAGAAAGACTTTGATTTTACATGCCAACATTCTTTGCAGTTGAAAAGACAACTCGCGCATCACCGTTGACTTCCCCGAGCCTGAAAACGAAGACAGAAGCCAAATCCGATTTTCTGCTTCCAGTAGTTTGGAATTCAACAATTCGTCCCAATCCAATTCTTTCCGTGACTCAAAACCCTTTTCTTTTATACAGAATTTCAGTGGGACGAAATTTCTCTCCAAATCTTGAAAAATCAAGCTGTGTGGCAAAGTCGAAATCATCATCGCCTCAGACGCATCATTCATCCTTTCATTTAATAAATCGGCTAGGTTTTCTTGAAGGCTTTTCGATTTCTTCAATTCCTGACTCTCAAAGATCTCTAGGAAGTTTTTCAGTAAAGCTGTAATAAATTGGAAAGTGTGAATAATTGGAAAAAATAACAATTTTAAACACGCACTCGCATTCCGAAGAGTAAAAACGAGCCATCCTGAGTGATTGGTCGCGCGGAGAAAATAATCATCGTATTTTTTTTTTCCTAGAACGAAATTACAAAATTACAAACAAAATAGCGCTGGGAAAAATTACTTTTGTGTGGAAACCGATTTATTCAATATTAACGATTTATAATTTAATTAAAAGCTTTCTAAAACGGTCAAATCAGAAAATTATTTTTCATTTTTATGTTAGGCCCAACGTGATTTTAGCAACCATAGAGAGGAAAAGCTGAAATTTTGATAATGGAAAATGAAATTTAAGACCAATCAGTGTTTCTTGTTGTTTCATCGACAAGGAATTTTTAAATACTGTATATTTATATAATCAGGGTACATATGGAAGATTAACCCTATTTATCATCACGAGGGTTGGCCATCTCGATAGACCTGCACATAATATTATAAAGAATATTACCACTACTGCATGGGTTGTAGCGACGGATTTTGTATCAACAAAGAAAAATAGTTTGGATTTCCCTATCCAGTCTCCGTTTTTCGGCCCAAGCAATCCGTGGATCAATTTGCCGATTGGAATTACTCTCTTGTTTTCATTCAGCCAAATGCAAACTTCCCCATCTTCTTCCTCTGCAATCTCGGCAAAAAAGAAGGCAGCGAAACAGCCGCAATCACTCCAAGACTTATCTAAAAATATTCCCGCAAAAAATTATAGAAAATCAAATTTAAATTTTATATTAACCAGATTGAGAGAGGTAAAAATGAAGTCCATCTTTGTTAATATTTGCGTCGATTGTTTCAAAACCAAGATTTGTAACCAGAGCAGTGTCCAGTTTTTCAATATGAACACTTTTTTCCCCGTAGTGGAAAATCACTGCTCTTCTGCCTCTGAAAACCTTTTTTGTTTGTGGATTGAACCAATCAAAGTGAATCGAAAGCGGCTTTTCCTCCTCTGAGCTTCCTATTTTGCTTTTGCCGTCCATCGATCTATTTGAAGTGCCAGCAACTTTCCTGCTCAGATTTGAATAAGAAAATACAAAAAAGCTACTATTTCAGCATACGAGCCAAGAGGATGAAAAAAAAATTTCCTATCGCACGGAAACATTTTGAATACGGGCGTCTGACGAGACAAATAAAATGAACCAAATGTTTTTTTGTGAATTTTGTTCTGGACGCCGGTCAAAAAATTTGCAACATCCAATTTTTGTCTCATCTCGTTCAATACCTCGCACAAAGCTGTGACGACCCATGTGCCTTTTGACCTTGTTGCTAAAATTAACAAATATGCAATGAACTTGTTTAATTTCATTCAATTTATTTTGATTTTACTCTCAACGGTTGAACAGAAGATGATTAAGTTGAGCATCTTCGGCTCGAAGGAAACTCTGCTCGAGTTTTGGTTTCTCGTCAGATCATTTCTGTGACCTTCTATGGCTTGATATCGATGAAAGACACTGTCCTCCAGTTCTCCTCTGCACGTCTAAAAGAAGCTTGATTTTAAAATGAAAATTTAACATTTTGTCTTTACCTCAAGGAAAACGATTTTTAAGCATTTTGGAAAATTATCATTGATTGACTTTAACAGGTCTTTCGTCGTGAAAGTTTCGTAATCGTTTGGATCTGGGCTGCGAAGGAAGTCCGTGAAAATCACTCCGTTTGCTGATCCGTGTGATAAAATAATCAAAAAGAAAACATCTGGTTCTAAAACTGAAATTGATTACTAGACATTTTTGTACCAAAAGGATCAAAAATCACCTTCAGGGGCTCCGAAGAATCTCTGCAGTTTTTTTTCGTCTTGAAGCAGAGTAATAAGAACCTCCTTTTTCGGCGAACACTCGCGGAATGCGCAGTTTCTGTTTTTTGCAAACGTGTTTCTCAGATTTTCAACGTCCTTTTCGTCACCGAACCGAGGCCACGAATGTGCACCATCTTTGAAGTCGTAATGCACGACCAGAACGAAAACGCTATAACGATAAAAAAGTTTACTTTAATCAATTATTTATTTTAACCTCGGCTTCTTATCTCAAGGTGCAGGTAGACCTTTTTTAAACTTTTGAGAGAGGGTAGAGACACATAAATAAAATGCAGAAATTTAATTTTAGGAAAACTCAAATTGAAACTTATTATTTTTTGATTAAATTTTTATGAAAGTATATTGATTATTTTTGGAATAGAAAAAATGTGATGATGAAATAATCATTGCAAATTCAAAATCTGATAAGATTAACATTTAAATTTACTTTTCAGCATTTTTTTCGATCCCTGTTGACTCAAAATATCCCAGTCCAGCCAGTCCTTCGGGATAACCTTGTTTGGCCCCTACGTCATAGATCATTGGTGTATTATTTGACACCTTATTCCTTTCTTAATAATACTTTATTCAAACCTTTTTCAACGCACTTGTCTAATGTAATAGAAACAGCCATTTTGAGGGATTACATGGTCCAAGGTCTAAGAGAGAAAAATAAAATAATAATAATAGATAATAAGTTGAAAAATCAACTTTTGGACAACACTAATGTTTTGTATCAATGCTCGCTTTTAGTTTATAACTTGTTTGTCTCTGTTCGCTTTTTAAAACCATACATCAAGGGAAATTGAATTTCTTTCCACTAACTCCTACATAAAATTTAAGAAGTAAAACAATTGTTCATAAAATGTTTTGTAAAATTGAAAATTTCTACCATTCCTAAAATAAAATTAATTTAAAATCATGCCTTCTACAAACAAAGCTGCAAAAACGGCAACGGCACGCATATTTAAGCTTATGATAGCGTGTGATGAGGAATGAATTTCCTAATAAGGAGCAAGAAATCTTTTTAAACATTACTGGCATTAAAATTATTTTGTAAGAAATAAAACTTTTATTACATTTTTAAAAAAAGAAAAATATTTTTAGAAAAAAATTTTTTTGCGTGAGAAAAAGTTTGAGAAACATATGAGCAGCATATGAGCTTATTTCATTGTTGTACAAACGAAGCAGATAATATTTCATTCATATTTTATTCGTAACCCAAATATCAAAATTCAAAAATTACTATATTGGCAACGAAATTTGACTTGATAATTAATCAGTTAACAAGACCTTCTTTTAGAGGAGGAAAATAGGAAAGGATGAATATTTGATGAATATGTTTTCAATCACGGATCTAACAATAAGGAAAACGGCGTGATATTACCGCGGCAAGATACATTCAAAATCCCTGCCTGGCTGAGTGCTCCTTCTGATTGTGAGTGAAATCTGTGGATTCAAACATAAAATGATGAAATATTTAAAAAAAAAAAATAGTTTTTCTTATCACAATTTGGTATTGCTTATCTATTATTATGTCTTTTACCTTGGGTAAAGTCGAGCTTTGACTCCAAAGATTATCTGGTAGCTACTTCTAATTTTTTTTTTTAATATCTCACGTTATCTCCGAGTTGATGCATTCGGCACGGTTCAGTACATTATTTTTCATTCACTTCAAAATTAAGCGCTATTCTTTTCAATTGCCATTTAAAGTTATTACGTAATTTAAAATCATTGTAATTTGCCTTAACGGCCAACCCCCGTGTAATTATAATTCGTCATTAAAAATTATTTTTCTACAAATAAATTGAATGAAAATAAGGTTAAAAAAGGCAAAATCACGAAGTGTTTATTCCCAAATACAAAAACTCTCATTAATGATTGAAAAAGCTGTGATAAATTTATGATTTTTTATATTTTAAAGCCTATTGGATGGAAGAGAATTTATCACCTAACTTGTACTCTAAAAACAATTTTGAATTTGAATGCTTGCTGAAAAATTAAATTTTGATATTATTTATAATTTGAAAAACATACTCAAATATCTGTGCTTGCAAATGTTTACTTAAGGCAGAAAAACGGAATTCAGAAAGTCGGGTGAGGTCCGTCCGCTCCTTAGCAGCTCTTAGAAGATAAAGAGGCTCTATGTGTTAGTCTTGCTTTTGGCGCTGATTAGGTGGCCGCGACGACAAAACGTAAAAGCTGAAATGGAAGTCGCATTAAGCCAGGTCACGCCAACTTGCGGCCGCTGAGCCAAAATACCACGCAGACAGAGTTAATTAATAAATAACAGCACAAGCTATGAAGAGGCCACCTAACAAACATGGAGATAAGGTCGTTAATAATTAAAAGCGATTGTTCACTTTTGGAATTCCAAAATATTTTATAATTTAATAATTTTAAAAATTACAACATCTTTCATTTTCATATAATATTTTATTATATTTATAAAACGTATTTAATTGTATCAGAAAAAAGCACGACATCGTCGAAAAAGATTTTTTACAAATCTTTTATTTAAACCCTAATTCTGTTCAGAACTTAAAGTTAAAATAATTGGTTTTTCCGCTCCTGCTTCAACCTCAATGAACTATTCAATACCTTCAATACCTAGGAATTCTTTGTATTCTTCTAGAAAATATTTATGAGCAACTTCCAAAGCAGTATTTTCATTCAAATCTCTGACCGATTCATCAACACCTTTTCTGACGAACCAGTTGAAAGTTTCAACTCTCCCATTCCAATTTGTGGCCACAATATGAAGCGCAGTTTCGTTTCTATTGGTACTCATTCTGATCAATTGGGGATTTTTCTCATGCAAATATTCCAAGAGTTTGAGTTTGACTCGAAATTTTGAAGAAGCTGCGAAGTGCATAGCATTCCATCCATCGTCGTCCACGGCGTTATCAATTTTAAGACCTTTTACTTGTAATAGCCATTTACACACGCCTAGACTACCTCCAAGAGCGGCCGAATGGAGCATCGTTTTGTTTTTTGCTGTTTTTTGCGTCATCATCGCAGAATCAAGATCAAGGAAATACTTGCAAATTTCAATTTTTCTACCCGTGTTTGCAAGACCGTAACTCAATAATAAATGCATGGCGTTTTCTTTTCTCACTGTTAATGTTTTGGTGAGCGCAGAGTCCTTTTCGAGGAAATATTTGACCAACCCCACATTTCCTTCTTTGGCTGCCCAGTGAAAAGCATTCCACCCATCATCATCCGTTATACATACTTGCAAACCACGTTTTTCAACAAGCAAGCGGCCCAAAATTTCTGCTGCGTTGTGGTCGTTCCACCCTGTTACAGCAATTAAGGCGTTACTGTTCACTTCAAAGTCTGCATATTCTGCATCACCGAATTTTTCAAATATAAAATTGGCCACTTCAACATTTTTACATTTGAGGGAACCATTGAAAATTCTCGACGCCAATTTCAACTCCGGCTCGTGCTTTGTTTTGAGAAGCGCTTTTGTCGTGTTGTTGCTTAAATATTCAAAGTCATCATCATCAAGGTCGGCAGTCCTAGCGCCGTGTGCAATCATAAGCTTAACGCAGTCGACGCTATTATTTCTAACAGCTGATTTCAATGCCTCTTGTATTGTATTTGCATCACTTGGATCTAGAATTCCTTTTTCGAGCACTAGGCTCAAGGTTTCTTGATAATTTTTTGACGCCGCGACTATTACGGTGGAACTTATTGCTTGATTATTCCACACTAAATCCATCAAATTGGCACAGTTTTCGCCTAGTTTTGCAAAGAGTTGCACAAAATTATTTTCAATCGCACTTGTGAGCATTTTTACGGCAGCAGTGTTCGGATCTACCAACTTTTTATAAGCGTCATTGTTCATAAGACCTAGTGCGAAATTTTCTACACGTTCGCTGGCCAAAACCAAAATCTGGTCGCTCGTAACGTAGTTTAGTTCATTTGATTCTTCGGCATTGAAAGTAACGAGGTTTGCTGCAGCGCTGGAGAAATTAACGAGACGTTCTTCAAGAATAACATTTTTGATGCTTGATTTAGTGAGTTTTTTTTTCAAGTATTTTTCTAGCGAAGTTAATAAATTTAATTTTTCGTCACCGACACTCATGGAAATTCTCAAGTCAACAAACTTTCGCACTTGAAGGAATTCTTCTTTCAAAATATTAAATGGCCTTTGAGGCCTTTTGAGTCCGTCGAACAAGCGATCGATGAAATGCGCTGCCACGAGGAATTCGGCGAACGTTTGGTGAACAAACTGGGCGCGTCCGTTGCTGATCGTCATAATGCCACTGATAGTTTTTTCCCAGTTTCCAGTGGTGTTTCCAGTTAATAGGATATCCAACCCACAATCCTTTATCTTCTTCCAACTATCTTTCAGTTCTTTTGAACATTCTGGAGTGTCTTTCTTTGAGGAACATGCTGATTTTAATTTTTCGTCAATTATTTTTTCGTAGATTTCGTACAAATTTAAAACTTTATTTGAATCTGAAACAGTAAGATTAGCAATCATTTTCAAGTGAAGAGGGTTTCCCAGAATATCTTCTGAGCCACTTTCTTTGTAGAATTTTATATGATGTTTGCATTGTTCTTTAGATTTTTTTGAAATTATCATGAAAAAATCTATTTGCTTGCTCCAATCTAAAGGCAAAATTTCGATATAGCAAATTTCTTTTCCGTTTCTTAATGTTAGCTTCGTGCGAATTGTGTCTTCCTCATGCGGTCGCGTAGAAATCCAAAACGGCAAATTCTTTTCCGCCGCTTCAGCAAAAAGTTTAAGTACTTGTTCTCGGTAATGAGGACAAATTTCATCGAATCCGTCAAACATCAACATGAGTTTTTTCTTATCAATCAGATCTTGAATTTCAATATCACGGTTTCCTGTTGCGTGAGAAACAATTTCAGCAAGGGATGGATCTTTTCTCTTCTTTTCAGCAGCGTCAAAAAGGCCATAGATGCCAAGAAGAACAACCTGAAAGACTTTCATTTCTCCTTTAAATTTTCTTTGCATTTCGAAGGCCAACTCGCGCATCACCGTCGACTTTCCCGATCCAGGAAGCGAAGACAAAACCCAAATCCGATGTTTCTCTCTAATTTGTTTCGATTCCAATAATGCGTCCCATTTCTTCCTCAACCTTGATTCCTCAAGAAATTCAAGAAATTCAGGCTGAATGAAATATCTCCGCAATTCTGGGAAATTCAAAAGGTGAGGCAAAGTCGAAACCATCATCGCCTCGGGTTCATTTGTTTCGTCACTTCCAAATGTTATTAGTACGTCAAAAAGTAGTTCCTGTAGGCTGCTGCTCTCACGCTTAATTTCCTGGCTCTCAACGATTTCAAAGAATTTCGAGAGGAAACCTATATGTAAATTAATTTAAATATTTAAAATACTGTAAAATAACTATATTTGGAAAGAAAGTACTTTTACTTTGGAGAAAAAACACCAGCCAACCGCAGTGATTGGTCGCTCGCAGGAAATCATCCAGGTTAATCTTTTTATCCTACAAAAATTCGAAACAATAAAATCGAAATTATAAGAGTGGAAATTAATTGCCGTTATTGTGCCATCTGAAGCTGTTGATTTTTTATCGACAAGGAAAAAAAGCTTCGGTTTCCCAATCCAGTCTCCGTTTTTTGGACCAAGCAATCCGTGGATCAGTTTGCCAATTGGTGTTGGAACTTTCTCATTCAAATTTATGCATACTTGGCCTTCCTTATCCTCGACAATCTCGGCAAAGAAGAAAGCAGCGAAACAGCCGTAATCAGCCCAAGATTTTGCTATAAAGTAACAAAACAGACATATTTATGAAGCTTACATTTATTTTATAAATTAAACCTTGTCCTTTTAAGTAGTATTCCAGACTTTGTGCGTCGATTTTTACAATGCTAGTTTCAAAACCGAGATTCTCAGTCAAAACCGAGTTAAGGTTTGTAATGAAATTTATTTCTTCTCCTTGGTGGAAAATCAGTGCCCGTCTGCCTCTGAGGACCTTATTTGTCCTTGGATTGATCCAATCAAAGTGAATCGAACGCGGCTTTTCGACTACAGGGCTCCCTTTTTTGCCTGTTGCGTCCGTTGAAGTACTATCCGCATCTTTTCTGCACAGATTTGAATTAGAAAATACAGAAACAAAAACTATTTTAGCGCACGATTTGACAGCATGAAAAAAGAATTTCCTGTCACGACAGAAAATTTTGAACTCCGGAGTCTGGCCAATCGAGTCAAATGAGCAATCCGTCTCTTGGTGGATTCTGTTCTGCACTCCAGTCAAAATTTTTGCAAGTCCCTCGTTCTGCTGCATCCCATCCAACTCCTGGCACAAAGCTTTGACGAACCAAGTGCCTGTACTTTTACTCCTGTTAGACATAGTCGCTAAAATTGTCAAAAATAAATTCGTAGGTATTAAATTTAAAATTGGTATTTACTCTCAACGGTGGCATAGAAGATGACTAGATTACGCATCTTTGGCTCAAAAGAAACTCTGGTCGAGTTTTGGTTGTTATTCGAAAAATCATTTTTCTGCTGGTCAAGTTTTTTATCTGCTTCAGAGGGATTATAGACACTATCCTTTAACTGACCTCTGCAAGGCTAAATGTTTTTTGCATAACATTAATTTTAAAGTGAAAATCAAGAATTTTATTGAAATACTCCAAGGAAAACGCTTTTTAAGCATTTTGGAAAAATCTCTTTGATCGACTTAAAAAGTTCATCCGTCGTGAAAGTTTCGTAATCTTTAGGATCGGAACTGCAAAAAGGGTCAGTGTAAATCACTCCGTTTGCTGCTCCGTGCGACAAAACGATCAATATAAAAACGTCAGGCTCTAAAACTGATTTTTTTGCTAGAAAATGTTATTGATCAAATGAATCAAAATCTACCCTCAGAGGCTCCGAAGAATCTCTTCAGTTTTTCACCGTCTTTAAGCAGAGCAAGCAAGTCGTCCTTTTTCGGCGAACATTCGCGGAATGCGCAGTTTCGGGTTTCGGCAAAAGTTTTCCTTAAATTTTCAATGTCCTTCTTGTTTCCATCTCGTGGCGGTTTTTCTTTTTTGCCTTTTTTAAATTCGTAGTGCACGACGAGAACAAAAGCGCTGGATATTTTTATATGTAAATCGTTGAGGATTTTAAGAGAGAAAAATGAATTACTTATCCGCATTATTTTCCTTTTTCTCCAGACACCTAAAATGTCCCAGTTTTGCCGGTCCTTTCGGATAATCTTCATCTGATCCTAAACGTTTGAAATAATTTTTAGACTCACTCCGTTTTATCTTGAAAAATGTAGTTCGTACTCACCTTTCTTCATTAATTCCTCCAAAGTACTCGACATGACCATATTGAGAATTTACATGTCCAGATGTAAAACAGAGATCAAGACGTAAAAAAAAAATGTTCACGATCGAAATTTCCTGTAAAAAGATATTCATCACTTATAAAAATCATTTAATATCGATGTAATGCTAATTTATCTTTACAGATCTCGACGGCCACGCTTCGTAAGGTGCAGCATATTGATTGTTTCAATTTGCAATACAATATGTAATTTATAATATTTTCTAACTCTGCGTGCAAAAAGAAAAAGTGCATGCTCACATGAAACTGAGAGAAAAAGTGTCAAGGACTGATGAACAACTTAGTTAAATTGTGGCTAAAAAGATTTTTTTATAATAGAAAAATACGAGAAACTCAAACTCCGTGGTAAGCAAGGCTTTATTTTAAATTAAAGTTCTCTTGCAGAGGCTTCAAAATAAAAATACTAGTTTAAATACGCCGCAAAAAAAAAATACTATTCCTTTGAAAGCGCAATTTTTTCAGGTGTTGTTTAATTCTGTACTAGTAAAGTTTCATATATCAGTCTGTTGTTGACCCAATAGATCTCTTAAACATTAAATATTATTAAAATAAAATACCAAAAGAGGGAAAAATCAATCCACAGACTGATCAATCTTTGTAAAATCAATTATTTAAAAATTAGGAAAAGGAGCGTTTGAAGAAAATTGATTTAAAATATCCCCATTTCTTAAAGATTTGGTTACTCCTCTCTTGTACAAAAAATCTCTCTCTTTTAAGAATTTAAGGATCATATTGGTGTAGATTAAATTGAAATTATTGTTGCTAAAATTTTTTTAGTGTACCCCATTTAAGATATATTCCATTCATCGTACAAAAAAATAAATCGATAAATAAGGGAGGTAATATGGGAACCTTTTTCTCTAACTGTAAGCATTGAAAAAACGCAAAATCAAACTTTATATATACATAAATATATTTTAAGATGTCTAGATAAAACAGTCGATTATTAAACCCAAAGTTTTAAAAATGTATTGAAAAAAAAATTAAATTTGGGATATCCTGCTTGGAACAAACTTTTAAATCCGGCCTCCTCTTCTGTTTGTTAATTAACGTTGAAACACTCCCAGATTTCCAGAGCAGCAGCCAGACGACTAAACACTTTGCACTGATGGCTGATTTTAGTGACGCATCTCGCGATACCCTTGAATCGAGATTAGACTTTAGCTTTGACAAACGTTACCGCTGCAGACCAACGCCAATTTTTGACAATAATTATCAATCTCATTTGCGCCTCGTGCCTAAATTTTTATCTGCTAATTTTTGTGAATTTTAATCTTTAAGTAGATTTTGATTGCAGCTCGCATGTCAAAGAAAAAACATCACTTATCAGAAAAGCAGATAATGTCTATTGCTAAATTACTGTAAGACGAGTTCGACGAGCTTTTCTTAATTTCCCATTGCCAAAAATTGAATATTACTTTCCTTTCTTTCATTTATACAACAAAACAAAATGGGATTTAATTTTTTCCATTTGTAAACCACTTAATTAATTTTTAAGAGGTTTTTACATGGATTTACTGAAAATGTGCAAGAAAAACTTGGCTTTAAAGACTGGAATACAAACCAAAACTTTTACTTTTAATAGAGAAATTAATTTTTTAATATTTTAAAATTTTTTAATGTTTCAAAAGTCGATAATATTAATAGTAGAAATAATTTACAAGTTACAAGCAAATTCACCCGATTAATATATATTTTTTTTAATAGGGTCAGGTTCATTGACGGCGCATCACAAAATATGTCTATAAAGTGGTGTCTCGCTCTTGGAGATTATTAATTGCACAAGTAATCTCCGAAAGTGAAGCTCGACTTTTTAAAAATGGCTGCCAGGCGACGTTGATCTAACAACTCTCCATAAGGATCAACATAGACAGTCGCCGGCCCCACCACATTTTTTGATATGATAATTAATCTGACTTGTTCCCTTCGGCACGGCTCGGTTCACTTGGTTGTTTTCTTTATTTTCGTTGATGCAAAATTATATTTTCCTCTCCAGAATTTATTAATATCTTTTTTAAAGAAATGTTATCTAAATTATAATTATTTAAATTTGCTTAAGCCAGTTGATTAGTTAGAAATTAATTTTTTATTTGTTTTAAATAAGGTGTATTTATTTTTTGAAAAAGTAAAAGTCCGACCAAGTCCGACCAACTCCAATCGGAGTTAGCGGCCGTCGCTTATGCGACTAAAGCGCAAGGCCAAGCACTTCAGCTCTATTCACATATTATTTACATGCAAGTTCTTACAACGGAAGAAAAATAAAATATATGCAGATCTATGTACTAATTATTTATTAGATATTAATTAATTTAATATTTTTTTTAGAAATAAAATTTAAATTTAATGTTTAAAAATTTTAAAGTTACCAAAGTCAGATATTTGGCCTCATTTTGGAGGGAATAATATGTTCCTTTTGTTTGAATAGAAGCCGCAGAAGGACAAAGTTTCTATCTTTGCCAGACTGGTCAGAATAAACTGGCCTTGGACTTGCTTAGATTTTTTTTCGCGGACCGACCACCGTTGGCATGCGTTGGCGTTGTAACCGGTTCTCAACTTATAAAGGTATTAGAATAATAAAGGTATTTCTAATACCTTTATGTCTCAACTATAAATTAATTGAAGCCGCTTTCCTTTGACAAAAACGGCCACACTTTCATGAACAGACGCATAGTTCTAAACTGAACACAAAAACCGCTTTGATTATAACTAAATTTAGGTGAAGCTCAAGTCCAAGTCACGCATCGTGTCTAAAGTGCTTAAAATTACCTTTGCGATCAGAACTTGAGTGGCCACATCAAAGGCTTAAACAAACAAGAGTACATTTTCCGAGAACCCGGCTGGATTCAATTACCACCCCTCAAAAGAAGTTTCCCTACTGCTGCTTATAAAAAAAAATTGCTTTTCGACCGAGCGTGGGTGCGGAAAAATAAAATAAATGACGGTGATAACCAAAACCAGTGCGCACCGAGAGGTCCTCTCTGGTCCCTTTGTGTATTTTTCATTAGCGGACGTAATAAGAAATGACGACGACCGAAAACGGCACAAAGCCAGCTCAACACGCACTGGCAAATGGCCAGTAGCTTTTTGCAACCGGATGATGCGCGCGTGGGCATTTTCCAACCCTTTCATCGCCAAAAACTGGTTATTTTCACGCCAAAAGTTACATTGCTGAAATGTCCTTGAGAGAGGTCGCGGTTTCGTTGCAGATTTTTGTCATGTAAAAAAATAGTTCTTGATAATTATATTAATTAAATAATTTAATTTATTTATGCATCAAAAACAGTTTGAAAATATGGTTTAAATAAATTAAATTAGTATAATCAAATGAGTTTTAAATACATCAGTCTTTTAAAATTTCAATGCAAAACTTTAAAAATATTTACTTTATCATCCCCTTTCAAAAAATTTTAAGATATATTTAACAGCATAATCTAAAAAGATTAAATTTCAAAACAAAATTTTCTGTTTTCAAATTGATAATTTACAAAAAGTTAAATTTTCTTTTTACTTAAATTAAATTATAATGGAAATGAAGAGATCGGCTTTTCCTCGTTAAATTATGATCTGTTAATTAAAAAATGACTTTTAATTAATTCAATAAATTGTCTGCATTGTGTTCTTCAAAAAAAAAATAAATAAAAAATATATTTTTAGAACTAGTTATTGGAAAAGCCTACTTAAAATACAAATAGCTATTGTCAACCCTTCTCAATACGGAATTCTCTTCTCTACAAAATATATAATAATAAGTATATATCTGAGCTGCAAAAATTTAATTTGTATCAAAACCCGGAGCCAAATAAAAATAAATAAATGAAAGAAAGTTCTATTATTACTCCTCTGTTTGTGCAATTTCAATGCTCAATTCCCATTTTATAAAATATAATAAATTTTCATACTTCCTTGTTAAGAATTAAAGTTTGTTTAAAATAAAGGCAGAATTTTTTCAGAGAAAGCAATAATTATCACTGTTTTTTCATAATATATGCTTCATGAATTTGGGAAGGATACAGAGATTTAAAAGTAGGATAGATTTATACTTATTGAGATGATAAGAATTATTATATTTTTGTTTTTGTAAAAATGATGAATTTTAATAGAAAAAAATTGTACAGCCTTAACTGCTATAAAAATTTTTATTTTTTAGCAAAGCTTCTACAATTTTACTTTTTTCATTTTAGTAATAAATTTGATCTATAATTTTATCGGACTCTTTACATACAAATTAGGGTGTACATCAAACTACGCGAATTCTTGAATGAAGTTTTACGCAAGGACGGCAAACTTAAAATTAATGCACAGATCCCGCCCCGAGATGGGAGTCTCCATCATTTCCTCGTGCAAGCAAGTTTCGTGTCGCGCACGAGGCACTTAAAGTATTAAAACTAACTTGGCCACTTAATCTTTTCGGAGCACTTTTGTGCCGAGTTGAATTTAATCTTGGGGCTTTGTCACCCTCCCCAGCTGACACAAATTATTTGGATCGACATCTCGGTCGAAAATAATTACAAGTTTATTTTCTCCAAAACCAATTAAAAAAGCAGTAGATTTTTTTTACAGGGATTGAAGTTAGGCAACCGGCTCGACATTGGTGCGAGACAAAAAGCCTAACCGTCGAATTTAAGGGGCTGTGGTGATGCGTGTGCGACACATCTGGTGCCGCCGCCGCCTCTTCTTCTTTTTTTTATCTCGCCGCTAAAAACTTATTTCCCGCGGTGCTCCGCTGCCCCGGGAACGGCGCATTACGCGTTACAAAAAGGGTCGACCCTCGTTTCTATTGTCGGTGTGCAGCCCTATGACGAAGCCAATATAAAAAGGAACGCAGGCAGCTGCCGGATGTGCAGTTTAAATATCGGAGAACGTTTTCACTGCGACAGCGAATCAAATTAAAAGTTGCATAATCTTCTTATTTCCAGTTTTAAAGTGAAAGTTCTGCACTTATTGCGTCGCAAATTCTTTTTTCGATGAAAAGCTGAGAATAATAAGAAGAGAAAGGGAGAGAGCGAAAATACAGAAAGGGTACGAAAATAATAAAAAGAACCGCTTCTCAGTTGCTTGAGCATTTTTTATGCTCAAATTTGAGTTGCAAAGCGTTTTGAAGCGATTTATTTTTTTAAATTCTATTAATTTATGCATTTATGTAAATAAAATTAAGTATTTTAGTTAAAAAAGGGAAAAGCAAAAAAATAACAATTAAAAAATAAAAACAAAATTAAACCAAATCACTAAAACATAGGAAACAACAAAATCTGAACTTCTCTAACCTAACCGCTAATGCAAAAAATTATTTCTCAATTTTTTCCCTTTGCTTTGCAGTTTTCAGCTTTGTTTTTCATCATCTCGAGCACAAAATATCATGATTTTTAAATAAAATTTAAAGTTATACGAAAAGAAAAAAATTGCCGCCTTCTGCACCAACAATAACGATCACAGGCCGACAAGACTTTGTGTTGGCCTGACCGTAATGAAAAAAATTATAATTGCTTAAAATTTATGTTTGCATATTATTTGGAATGTCTATTTAAAAAAACAGTAACAAAAGTAACAAATAAAATCTGTAAGTTGCCAAATATTTTTAAACGTTTATTAAAAATATTTGAACTAAATTAAGTCTTGTTTAAAAGTAAATAAATTTGTTTTTGGTGTCACAGATTTTGAAACAGAAAAAATCCATTTGCAAAATTCCATTGTTGGAATAAATTTTGGTATATTTTCAAAAATCAACCCTATAATTTATTTTGTCACTCGTATCTCACATTGCTGAAAATTTATATGTAAAATAAAGCAAATAAAAGTAAGTATGCAATTATTCTAGTTTACAATTATTACTGAAGATTAATGTTGTACATAAAGCGTTTTCCTATATATTTTGTGAACCTCATATAAAATCTGCCCTTTCTGAAATTCATTCTTGTCGAGCAAAACAAATTAATTCAACCGTTCAATCTTTCAAATATGAGTTTATAAGTACGACCTTATCGCTTATAACTAGAGCCCTGAGCCGTTCAATTTTGATTGGCGGCTCACTATAGCGGCTGCGCCACCAAAATGGCGCGGCTGCTCGGGAATTTTGTCCGGCGGCGGCTCGCGGCTGGCTAACAGATCGGCTCAGCATGTTTTTCAAATTTAAATTTAAGAAAAACATAAAATGCTGACTGAGAATTAAAAAATAATTTCTGATCAACATCGTTATTTTCGACAGTATCTACTCGACTGGCTCAGACCTCTACTTATAAACACATTTCACTGACTGAGCTCATCATCAAAGTTTGCCATACAGTGTGAATTTGAGCTAAAACTATTTGTTTGCTGTCGGCAGCAGCAGCACTTTCTTTGGAAGCTCAAAGGAAAAACAAAAACGTGTACGAAACAAACAAGATAGAAGTTGCCGCCGCTGAAACTTATAGCACGCACTAAACACGTAGTCTCGTTTTCGCTTCTATGGGCGCGAGACAACAGAGCGAAAAATTCTTTACACAACCCTTTTTTTCTCACTCCTATGACAACAAGAAAAGCGTAAACGATTGCTTTGAAGTTTCCGTTTTTTTCCTCTTGAAATTAATTACTCTTTCCTCAATATTTTAAGCTCCTGGAAACGTATTTTATTTTTGAAATTCAGATTTCCTGCTCTTTGTTTGAGAGATTTGAGCTTGAAATTTAATCGGATTTGTCTAGAGAACGTGATTTTCTGCTCAATCAAACGTGAATTAATTCACACAGGACCCATTTCCGTAAAGGTTCGGCAGCCCTTTGACGCTGTTGGTGAAGCGTTTTTGTAGCTGAAAGATTAAAGCAACTAATTAAATTTAAATAAAAAACAAATATCAAAGGGAAAATGAAATAAGACCTCCCTCTTCATATATTATATTTTTTATTGCTTCCAAGCAACATCAATGTTAGCACAGCAAACATTGATAATTCAAACTGTAACTGATGACATTAAAATTGGCACACACATGAAGCACGAATTTTTTTGCTTTATGTCTGACTCATCAGAGGATCTGCAAACCTTACATATTATTTTTTTCATTATTATCAACGGAAATGAATAACTTAATAAAATAGAGCTTGTTGAAAGTTGGAAAAAATTTTACTGTAAAAAACTGGAATTTTCCGTCCGTAAATTAATATTCTTTTAATTAAATTTTTTACAGATCTAATTTTAATTTAAAATACAATAATAACAAATAATCTGATCAACAGACCAATTGATGGAAAATTTATAATAAAAGTCTGATATGGCCTGAAATAAATTTAAAATTAAATTCTTGGGAAATTTCCCTTATTTGCCATCTGCAGTTTTTGTAAAATGTAAATTCGCACCAAGATTTTTTACTATCCAAAATCTTTTTTATTTTTACTCGCAGTTCCAGTGTAATTTTCAAACTTATCATCTATTTATGAGCGACATCAGTCTTCACATTAAACGTGATACAACATTATTTCTTATTCGTAGACATTTTTTCACTTCAAACAGTTTAAAATCACCGCATTTTAAATATAATCAGTCTCTTTCAAGCAGTTGTGCTCGTTTATCGTAAAAAGCTCATTTCTTTTCAAAATAATTTAGTAATGAGCTGCAATTTTTTTAATGGTTAAAATTACATACAGCACACAATCATTGCCATTTAGGTTAAAACGTCCCTTTGAAAAATTGTATGCGCACAAATGACGAGAGGTAAAATTGCATGCCGATATATTCCAATAACAAGGAAAGATCCATCAGGAAAACGTTTTAAGAAGGAGGAAGATTGCCCTCAAAATACACAATCACAAAAATAATTATGTATCTTCTCAGGATACAATATTATTTGATGCATTTCATTGTAAGGATTGTTAAAATGGCCTCTCTAGCAAAGATTTTTATTCTGATACAATTCAAAAGAATTTTACTGAAATCAAAATAGCGATTTTTAAATTTCCTCTAAGGTTCACTTTTCCCACCAAAAGCATTTGAAATTTTTGAAGCTTCTCAGTTTAATAATTAAATTTGAGCTGATTTGAACAAAAAAAGCAAAACTTTGAATCTAGATCAAAGTAATGCTTTTGGCGGAAAAAGTGAGAATTTTTTATATCAGTATCAGGAAAACTTTGTCTACTTTGATATTGAAGCATACAATTAATCGCTAGAGAAGTTATTTAAACAGGAACGAAAAATGTTTACAGAAATCTTAGACTAGAAATAAATTTGGGTAAAACTTCTTCAGGAAAATATAATTTATGAAATTCATCGGATTAATTTTTCCTGAAATAAGATGAAATTGCAGAATTACGTATATTTGGATGAGCAGAGTTTATGGGAAAATTACACAGAAGTTTCTGCTAGAGTGTTGGCCAGAATGTCCGGCGTGAGCATTTTGCACGAGTCACTCGACTGTGAGTCGGACACGGCCTCGATGATTCGCGTCGACTGGCCGGCGGCGCCGTTGTTCTGCACGATCAGGACGATGGGCTCGAGCAAACTGCTGTCCTCCTCGACCAGCAGGGTCACTTTGACCCTGGGACTGCTGCTCGATTGTTGCCGCGAAAGCCACGAGCCGGCGCCGCCCGAACTGCACGAGGCCTGTCTGGCGTTGTCGCCGCGTTTGTGCATCAGACTCATCTGTTGGGGTCGCGACATGGCCGACAGGGTGTTGTTTCGCATCGGACTGTTCCCGCCGCACAGGGTTGCCCTGCGAAAGAAATTTCAATACGAAGAATGCTTCAGTTTGAATGATTTAAAAATCTTGCGGAATAAGATGCTATACGCGAAACATGACATGCAACAACGGATTTTAATGGCCCTTTAATTAATTATTTTAATTCTTGAAATCTGAAATTAGACAAAATTTCATGACTGCAATCAAAATAATTATGTATTTATGGCATTCCTAAGGGATGAATTAAAGGTTTCATGGCAGGTTAATATTATTCCTTTTTTCCGCCCAAAGAATTTCATCCTTATAAGGAACATCTTGATTCGATTTTTACTAAATTAAAATAATAAACTATTAAAAGGAAAAATGAATAAATTGTAAAATATTTTTAGGCACAAAATATGTTGTTAGATTATTTTATTATTTTTTTTTTCAATAAGTTCATTTGAATTGATTTAAAAATCATTAAAATTCTTTAAAATATATATCCTTTTAAAGTTTTTGATAAACATCAATAAACATGTTTAAAATTTAATTAATAAGTAATGTTTTTTTTTAAAGTTTAATTTTTATAAAACGATTATATTTAAAATTTTAATTGCTTAATTAAAGAAAAATTATGTATTAAATTTTAAAAATTAATACTTAATGCTAGGTATGCATATAATCTATTAAAAATTGTGAACTTAATAAAAAAAACATTTTATTCAATTTTTATAATTTAATCCGATATTGATATTACGATCAGCTTTATTTGGCAGAAAAGGATTAAAACAGAAAATTCCATGAACCCTATTTTCATTTCAACCCTTGAGAATTAGGGTTCGCGATTTCTGCGTCAACCATGAAAATTTGTCTTCTATATAACGAATTGAAGCACAATAATTTTTGTTTGAGAGAAGAATTTAAAAGTGATTTGTAGATTTGAACAATTGAGAGTTTATGTAATGGACGTGAAAACTATTTCTTTTCCTGTCAAATGTTAGCCGAAGTTTAGTCTGAGGGTGAAGGTTCAAAACTTTTGATTTTCTTATTAGAAAATTTCAAATTCCCAGGCAAAAAATCGAGTCCCAGATCTAATGATTGAAAAAAATTTGATACCTTTTTGATCTTTTTCTCAAGCTATATGTAACAAAGAATTTCAAAAATAACGTCAGTGATTATTTTTATTAAAAAAAAAAATAAGGAATTTTAAATCAAATTAATTGATACCCAGATTTTGAAAATCTGACAAACACATCCAATGTTATCGGGCGTATTCAAAAGTTGAATGTGTATGTTAATTTTATGCTGATAAAAAACACAAAACAATTTTTCTTTAGTAAGCTGAGCAAATTCATATTTAAAATTTAATTTATTAAAGGAAAATAAAAATCGAAAAATTCATTTAAAATTTCTATTTTCATATTAATAAAAAATAATAATAACTCATTTTGAATCTGTGACAAGTGTTGAGGGTAAAAGAAATAAAAATAATTTACAAACTCGGTTTTCTTGGAAAAAGAAATTAAATCAAGGAAAACCGCACTCTTCTCCGTTTTTGCTTTAATTTTACGTGACTGAAGTTAGCGATAGCGATAGCGATGCTAGCTACAGAAAAAAGCAGGGTGCCAACCTAAGAAAATTGGTGGTTGATATGAACACAATAATAATAGAAATAGAGTGAAAAAACCCTCTCTGAAACACAGCAGGCGGCTTAAAATGTTTCTTAATGACCCATATATCCGTTCCCGTTGTAAAAAAAGTTTGCATTCCCATACCGGAAAAAAATAAAAAAAAAATATATATTTTCACCATGCACTTTGAGCGTGAAAAATCAAAGTTTTCTAAATATAACTAAAACCCACCCTCTCAGTAACAAATTATGAGGCTTAAAATGTTCCTCTTTGACCCTGTTATCAGTTTCAAATATAAAAAACGTTTGCATCCCCATACCGGAATTAAATTAAAAAATAAAAGATTTTCACCCTGCACTTTATCCGTGAAAAATCAAAGTTTTCTAAATTCAACTAAAACCCACCCTCTCACGGGGTTCATATTCACCATACTGACGTAAAAAATTACGAGAAACCAGATTTCGAGCTAAAAAACTTTTGCATGTCACCCCTTCATCCCCTATTTTCGAATTTTAAAATTTGAGGGGTGGTTTCGGTCAAAACCCACCCTCTCAGTAACAAGTTATGTAGCTTAAAGTGTTCCTCTTTGACCCTGTTATAAGTTTTCAATGTAAAAAACATTTGCATCCCCATACCGGAATTGAATTAAAAAATAAAATATTTTCACCCTGCACTTTAATTGTGCGTGAAAAATTAAAATATTCTAAATTTAAATAAAACCCACCCTCTCATGAAGCTCATATTCAACATACTGACGTAAAAAATTACGAGAAACAAGATTTCAAGCTAAAAAACTTTTGCATGTCACCCCTTCTTCCCCTAATTTCAATTTTAAAATTTTGAGGGGTGGTTCCGGCAATAATCCACCCTTTTGGCACCAAAACTACGACTCTAAATGTTACTCTTTGACCCTTTTATCAGTTTTCGTTGGGGAATATCATATGCATCCCTCTTACTGAATATAATAAAATTTTATAGAGTTTCACTTTTGATTTTTTTTTTAAATTTTATTGAAATCTATCATCTTATAGAATTCATATTCACAAGTTTGTCATAATAAAAAATGACGAGAAAGAAGAATCTAAGATAAAAAAAATGATTCCATCTCACCTCTTCCGCTGCTTATTCCAAAAATTTTTTATAGTGGTTTCGTCAAGTACCCACCCTCTGCGGCAACCAAAAACTGACTCAAAATGTTACAGTTTGACCCCTGTTTCAGTTTCTGTAGAGAATATCTATTGCATCCCCACACCTGAAATTATTGTATCAATCTGTAAATTATTGTTATTGCTTAAAATACCATTCTTTTTTTTTTTTAAACGGCCTCGTTCGTGTATTAATTTTTTACTAATCTAGTTTCAAAAATGGACTGTTAAACAACCAAAATAAATAATTACTAAATATTTTTTCTGCAAAAGGTTTTACTTACACTGTTCAAGAAAAACTTTTCTTAACAAGAGTAAAATATGTACATACAAAATTATTCGTTCTTAACCTGAAAGAAATTTATATCATTCATAAATTCCATTGAATACCATCTCACCCTAGAGTGCATTCTACAGTTATTTAAATATAAGAAAAAAAGTGAAAATTTTTCAACCTGTAGACTTGTAAAGATTGCTTAATACTAATAAAAAAAGGAAATATAAATGGGGCCCACGCAACAGATTTTTCGTAAAAAAATGTAGAAATATGGCTAACAGATATGTGCGTTGATTTCAATAACGAAAAAAAAAGAAATTGGGCTGCAAATCTTATTTTGGTTGAAAATTATATGAATAATCGACCGTTGTGGTTTGAAATTGGTTGATTGATTTTTCCGTGAAACATATAAGAATATCACAATTTCTTTTCTTCATTATTCTAACCCAAAAATTTGAAAAAAAAAAAATCACGAGGAAAAAGTTGATTAATATTATTATAATATCATTTGGGGTTGAGGCCTAATATAAAACAAAATATTTGAGGAGAAAAGGGTTTGATTGTTGTTTCCTCGCGAAAAAAATTGAGAAGGTGGATAAATAATTTGAATTTTAGTCGGATTGTGTTTTTCGAGTTGCTTAATGTTAGGCAAAAATAATATGACAATACGACAATATGTTTATGATGCGCCTGCAAACATTATTCATGAGCTTCAAAATTATTTTATTATTCAAATTTTTGTAAAAAATGGATATAAAAAGCGTTTACAACAAATTACTGTATTGATGAAAAAATTATTGTGTGTAGTAATTGTATTCAAAAAAATTTCACAGCTCATGAATTATGGCAGCAGCCAGCAGCCGAAACACGTACAGAAGAATATTTTTTTTTCTAAAACAATTAATAGCTTGAAGATCACCAAAACTATCATGGAAAAAGTCTTTAAAATTACCACGAACCCACCCTCCGTAAAAAAGTTCTACCTCAATACGATAATTAGTTAAAATGTATTTAAAATTTATTTCAAAATTCCCGTATGGGGATGCAAATGTTTGATATAACGGACAAACTGATAGAAGGGTAAAAGGGGAAAATTTTAAGCCACATAACTTGTTACTGAGAGGGTGGGTTGTCACCGAAACCAACCCTCAAATTTAAAATTTGGAAATTAGGGGATGAAGGGGTGACATGCTACAGTTTTTTCAGCTCGGATTATTCTTTCTCGTCATTTTTTAAGTCAGGATGGTAATTAAGAGCCTCATGAGAGGGTGGGTTTTAGTTACATTTAGCAAACTTTTATTTTTCACCATTTTTCACACACAATGTGCAGGGTGAAAATCTTTTATTTTTTCATTTAATTCCGGTATGGGGATGCAAAGGTTTTTTACATTGGAAACTGATAACAGGGTCAAAGAGGAACATTTTAAGCACTATAACTGGTTACTGAGAGGGTGGGTTTTGACCGAAACCACCCCTCAAATTTTAAAATTCGAAAATAGGGGATGAAGGGGTGACATGCAAAAGTTTTTTAGCTCGAAATCTTGTTTCTCGTAATTTTTAACGTCAGTATGGTGAATATGAACCCCGTGAGAGGGTGGGTTTTAGTTGAATTTAGAAAACTTTGATTTTTCACGGATAAAGTGCAGGGTGAAAATCTTTTATTTTTTCATTTAATTCCGGTGTGGGGATGCAAAGGTTTTTTACATTGGAAACTGATAACAGGGTCAAAGAGGAACTATGTAAGCCATATAACTTGTCACTGCGAGGGTGGGTTCTCACTTAAACTGTTAATATTGCGTTTCAATCAACCTCCAAATTTCTTAGGTTGGCACCCTGCCTTTTTCCGTCGCTGGTAACGCTATCGCTATCGCTAACTTCAGCCAGGTTTAATTTTCATTTCATACAATCTCGTCAAACATAATTCCATCGCAAACTCATATTTTTTTCAGTGCTCATAAAAGAGCTCTCAAAAAAAGTTGAAGAAGAGTTTCTGCGGCTCGTTAACACAGAAATTGTGCGCAGTTTCTTTTTTTTCCCTGAGAAACTCTTTTCAGTGCAAATAATTGATGCGCGAATGGATTCTTTTTATAAATACGACGTCGTCATTCCCCTCAAGGCAGATCTTTTATCTCTTATTCTGTATATAATGCATACACGAATCAACAACTTTTCTTCCGGAGCAAAAGTTGGCTCTCTCTGGTTTTTTTTCCATTTTATATATTTATACCGGACAAAAAGCGAAACACTCACTTGAAAGCGATCCTGTACTTGGCCGACATGAGGTTGTAAAGGATCGGGTTGACGGTGGAGGAGAAGTAGTAGAAGCAGCCGGTGATGTGGTAAATCCACTCATTGTACTCGTTGTAGCCTTCGATCTCGCGCAGGTAGACGAAGAGCAGGCGCTGCAGGTGGAACGGCGCCCAGCAAACAAAGAACGAAATCACCACCGCCGCTGAAACACCACAAATTGCCTCAGTTTTTAATGAGATTTTTGACGGCTGCGAAAACAACAATGAGGAGCGAGACGAGAGGAAAAGCAATCACTTCTCAATTACGCCGGCTGCTTGCTTTTGTAATAAAAATATCAAGCCAAAATCGTTTTTCTCATTATTTCGGAAAAATCGAGGAAAATGTTTGCATTGTGTTAGTAAAAATTTCCTCAGATTTTATGTTATGAAGAGAAAGGTAGCTTAATTTTGAACGTTCCCGATTTAAAATGTGGCAGAAGTAGGGTTTCAATGTATAAATTTAATAAATTATATGAAAGTGAAAAAAGTTACAAATGTTTAATCAGGATTTTTTTTTCAAATATGGCGCAGGAAAAAGTTGTCAATTCGCCACGTTTGTCAACGCTGAAATCGCATGAATCCAGGGAGTCTAGAGAGTTTCATTCAAAGCAAGGTCCGCTCGTCAGAAAAGTTCGATTGTTGTCGAGCTCTCTGATTGGGTACAACTTTACTTGTACCCAATCAGAGAGCTCAAACAACAATCAAATCATTTTTCATTGTTGCTGATGCGCGGACCTTGATTCAAAGTTAAAAAAAATCAAGGTAACAAAATTAGGAGCTAAAAATCATGTTTATTTTATAGCAATAGGCGCTTAATTTTTTAGCTCGCTTTTAGAAATCCTGTGGGGACATGAAGTGGTTTGTAATTAAAAGTGGTAAATAAAACTTTTCTGTAGTCGTTCAATTGCGGTAAAATCAACAAGGAAAGTTATTTGTTACTTTCAAATGAGGATGATGAGTATCGTCTTTTATTTTAGTTTCGCAAAAGGCAGATTTTTTTTATAAAATTCTATTAATTTCGACTGTCTTTAGATGGACACTGTTAACTTTCAAATTTTCCGTAACAATAGAAAAAAAATTAAAATGTAAATTAAAATGTTTTATTAATAAAATACTACTTTTAACAATATTAAATGTCAATTAAATGTAAACTAATTTATTAAAATTTTTAAAATGTTTAGAATGTTGCATCAAATAATTCTAATAATTTATGAGGTGTAGTGATAAAATTCATGTTGGTATATTAAAAATTAAAAAAAAAACTTTTCTGGAACCAAACTATTGCTTGTCTTATCATTACTAAACTTTTACTGTAAAACAAGTTTTATTAAAAATTTAGTTGATTTTTTTTTAATTTTTCTTTTTCGAATAAAACTTGTGCTTGATATTTTAAGTTATGAATATTAAAACAACAATTTTACTAATGGTATTTTCCAGGAATCCTGCCTGGAATTTCACAACTTTTCGGCCTGTTACAGAGTTTTTTTATTTTGTACTTACCCAGCATCCGCAAGATGGATTTGCGAGATTTGTTGGTGCGGTGCGACTCGCCGAGTGCCTGTCTCTGCGTGATGAGAATGCCCATCCGCGTGTAGAGCGCGACCAGGATGAGCATGGGCACGAGGAAAAAAGCGACGCTGCTCGTCTCGTAGAGCGGGAAGTTGTCGGGCACGTGCAACATGCCGCAGAACGCCGATTCGTCCACCAAATCGCCGGAGCCCTGCGTTCCAGAAAAACGGAAATCAATTTCATCGCGGCCAAAGCGTCCGAAAGCTAATCTCTGTTCCGCCGCCGCGATTTTCCGTCAATATTATATCGGATTGGGATTTGCTGCTCAGTCGCAGCAAAAGCGGAAATCGACAGTTGACAGAGTTTGCAAGTTCAAAGCGGAAAAGGGCGAAAACCAGAGGTGCGGAAAACAGATATTATGGAGGGTTTATTGGTTGCGGAAATCGATTGCTTTTGTTTTCAAAATGTGCCTGAACTTGACATGCTCGAAAATTTAGCTAAAGCGGATTACATTTATGGTCGTGATAAATAAATAAATCAAAAACATAATTTTAGGGCCGAATTATTTTTTTTCCACTTTGTAATGTTTATTCTTATAATTTGTACTTATGAAGTATGCAATCATTATTTTTTTTTTAATTATTCAAGGATTAAATGCTACAATTCCAATTTCTATTTAGAGACTTTCAAATTTTTATAATTTATTATAATTTGGCCTCTTGAACATTGAATTGAAAAAAAATATAATATTTTCAAATTAGCAACCGAAGCCATTGATTTTCATTAAAAAAACTTTATTTTCTTTTAAATACAATATGGCTTCCACCTCATTATCAGATTTATGCTAATTACTTTCGCCTCTGGTGACAAAAAGTTATAATTAAAAAAAAAAACTTTTTTGAAGCAGTCAAAACCGCATTTTTTTATTTTCGCTAAAGTTTTCAGCCCTTATGCAAAATTGAATATTATTTTTTAATAGAACTTTCCACCAATGAAATAAAGCGATACTTAAATCAACTTCAATTATTAATAAAATAAAAAAATGACATATATATATTTCAGAAAATTTTGATTGAAGATCACATGAAATAATTAATCATAGGCATAAAAAAATTACAATTGATAAAAATGGGATGTAATTAAATATTACCTAAAATCTAATTTTTTTTATGTTAAACAATTTCAACCAGTTTAACGTATAAATGTGTCTGTTTAGACTATAAAAATTTCCTATTTGCTGTTATAGTTGCGTAGGCCAGGGCAGTTTTGCTCAAAAGAAATCGATTTGGGAGTAAAAAAGGCAAAATCTATATTGGTGTAGATTTTTCAAATATGAAAATTAAATGGAGAAGTTCTTTGAAAATGCAAGTTATACGTACCGGTGGAAAGTCGAGATAGTTGACGGTGGTGAAAGAAGCGAAGGGGATGGCGCAGGCGAGCGAAACCAGCCAAATTGCCGCGATGATCCTCGACGCCCTTCGCAGACCGGACATGGTGTACGCGTGAAGAGGATGACAGATGGCCAAGTAGCGCTCGGTCGAGAACGCCACGATCGTCAGCACCGACGCGTATGAAGTCCTGTCGTACACTTTTTTTTATTTTAAACGTTTCGCTTCGGAAGTTAAGCAAACTTACGCTTCGGAAATTAGCGCTCTGAATTTGCACAGCCCTTCGCCGAGGTCCCACGGGTACTGGTGCCAGTAGACGTACAAGTCGTTCGGCAACCCTGGGGAACAAAGGACAAATTATGTCAAAAATTTTGGTACTAACTACGTGCAATTCCAGCCAAATCGTCAATATTTATTCTCACTGTTTTTTATAAGTCTAAGAATAATAATGATAATTAATTTAAAATAATTAAGTTCAAATTTAAATTGAATATTAACAATCGAGGTGGATTTAGTAAATTTTTTTTCTTTTGAACCCAACTTTTGAAGTTATTGTTTATTTTATATTATTTTATACAATTATTCTTTTTTTTATGTTAATAATTTTTTTATGTCTATGCATGATCTAATTTTTTATGTACCGAGTCCTTTCTTTGCCATGCAATGTCTATCACAGAATAATTAATAAATAAGTTAAATAATTTACAAGAAAAGAAAATTTTTAAATTTTAAATGATAGCATTTATTGTAATTTCATTTTCGGCCCTTTACCCTTTGTTATTAAATTATTTTGGTGATCACCTATTTAAATTTCAATTTCAAATTATCCCTTTCATTAATATAAATTCCGACGTTTTCTGCTTTCACAAGATGAGAATTTTGTGGCATCTTTTGATCTGTAGCACCGTAAAATGGTAAAACCGGTAAAACAAACCAAAACTCTTTGCATTTTAAATTTTTCTCAGCGTTTCAGTGAATTCAAGACTCACGAGGAACAAATTGTTTCTCAGGGAATGGTTTGAGGTAAACACAAAAAGTTGACTTTTTTGCCGCAGGTTTCATTACACATTTCTACAAAAAGTTTCAGTTTCGTAGAAGGGAAATTCATCTGTTCGGGAATAAAATAACAAAAGAAATCAATTCGAGCTACAATGCAGAACTACCAATGTTGGCTGTGACTGACTGACTCCTCGGAAAAACAAACATGATGGCATATCAGCAATTTTTCTCTCTGTGTATTAAAAAATCTCATTTTATACAAACACCCTTGAGAGCGGAACGATATTCGTGGAAATAAAATCACACACAACGATAATAATGCTGCAAAGGTAAATTGAAAAAGAGAAACTCTATACTGTGGATATTTCACGCCTACTGAGCGCATAAAATTCTCTGGAAAAATGTTTTCCTTGATTGCTACAAACACAATGTTTAATCAGCGTTGCACATGGACCATAAATGGAGAAGTTATACTTTCCAGAGTTGTAATAACAAGGAAAAAAAAGGTGGCCAGTTGTTTTTTGGCTTTGCTAAGGGTTTTCCATTAAAAAAGTATTAACGTGACGTTTAAGTCTAAAGGGCTTAAAAATTTGTTATTTTGTTTTCTTGTTTCTTCAAAAAAATCTGAATTAAAGAATAATAAAATACTATGGCACAACACAACACGATTATCATTGAAACAATTTTATGTACTTAATATAATTCAACTTATTTGACTTTTATTGAAACATAATAATATTTAAATAAATCAAATAGAAAATTAAGCAAATTTAATCGTCTTAAGACTGTAACTAGACTTTTTTCTTATGTAAATTTTCTTAAACTGTTTTTCAGAATAAAATTTTATTTTAATTCAATAATACAGAGATAAATTTATCATCACTTATTAGAATTAAATGAATTATTTTTAACATAGCATTAAAAATATATATTTTGGTTTTGCTATTAGAAAAAATTTACAAAATGTTTCTTTGGAGATGGGTTAGGATTGGGGTTTTTTTATCGGAAAAAAAATGGATTAGTAGGTAATTAATTAAATTGATTTGATTATATTTTTAACCATATTTACAAATCTCAGGATAAACGATTTTCATTTATTGCCCCATAAATTTTGAATGGGTTGTTTCAGTACGTTAACTCCCATTTCGGGGCATCAATTGGTTCAAGGGAATCCTCTAAAGCCGCTTTTTGCGGGACGTATTTTTCCAAAGTGACAAACGCAGACCAAGTCGAGGGCCAATTGATTGGAAATACGACTTCCGAGCGCGGTCATATTTTTTGCCCCATGCACGAGGGGTTTTGCATTTGTTGTTCTGCGCCGAGTGCCAACCCCGCCCGGTCGCTGCTGCCAAACCATTTTAATACAAAATAATGCATGAACCGAGCATAAATTCCTGCATCTGCAAAGCGTCTATAAATATTTACGAGCTCAAAACCCTGCGCGATGAAGTATTAATGCCCATTTTGAAGCAAATAAAACGTTGGTAGTTTAGTAATGAAGGGAGCGAATCAAAAATAAAAATAAATTTAGAAAAAACCTTGGTTTAAATAAATTTTTGTAAAATTCAACAAATTAGAATTTATTTATCAAGAGTTTTTGCCCATTTTTGCCATTAGATTATTATTATATTGTATTTCATTTGTTTAAATTTATGTTAAATGCCTAGATTTTTTTACAAAATCTAGTTCCAATTTATATCTTTGTCTAATTTTTTGTAACAAGAAAACAAAAATTGTTGTCATCCTTGGCATCGGTGCACCTGCCATATTTTTATATTTACGGCAGAGGATTGATTAGTAATAAAATCTATAAATTTCATGAAAAACTGTAATTTAGTGCAAAAAAATCACGTTGAGGCGGATAAAAGTGGATCTTGGCCTTCTTTTCTCATTATTTTACGCTTGTTAGGAGGCGTTTTTTTACTCGAGCCAAAGGAACCCTTTTGATCTTATATTCTGCTGGTTTTGCAAGACGTTTTCCATCGCGCACCGCTTTTTATGTTGAGCCTTGCGTGCTGATGCACGGGTTTTAATCGATTTTCCACCCTGCAGTGCGAATATTGGCCACAACGCATAGCCATGCGACACCCACGCAATAATGGCACAGAAAATAAATATCAAGGCGTTCGCGTGTCAAAGGCGCGTGAAATCCGACGCAAGCCTTTCTATAATCTTTGATGTGCTTGACCGACCGTCTTATAAGGGCCCGCCATATTTGTTCCTTTGACGAAACAAAATCGGTTTTCGACGTTTTTCCACCTCTTGATTGCGAAACGTTGTTTTTCCTACACTTGAAATTTGAGGACTCAACGATTTATAAAAGATAAAATATTAAATTATTAGAAGACGTGAATAAAGTGCTCTTTTATTTTATAATGTTTTCATTTAACTCACTCCAAAATTGATTTTGACAGTAATTCCTGGCAGATTGTGTAAGTTTTTGTGACTAAACATGTTTCAAAGAAAAAAAATTACATTTTATATAATGTTTTTGGACTATTTGGAAATTGTATGAAAAAATCTCCAAGAACATTTTTTCTTCTTAATTTCTGGAAAATTTACATATTTTCCATATTTTCTTATGTTTTTAGTAATTTTTTCCCACAATATTTAATTCTGCTAATGTCCCTGTTTGAAAATTACATTAGAAACTCTAGTAAAACTGTTTAAGTTTCCGTCTAGTATGTGTGTATTTTTGTTGAATTTAAGTGGTGTGGGTAGTTTTTACGCTGGCAGAAGTTTTAATTCTGCTATTTATAAAGTCTGATCAAAAAGATTTGTTTTTCTTTATCTCTCGCACGGTTTCGGCAATCCACGTAAAAATAAGTTTTAAAATCAATGAAAACATTTGTTTTTATAAGGAATAAAGTGAATTTTTTAAAATCTGTGCTGAGAAAAAAAATGTATTTAAACACTCCTTTAATTTTCTTTACAATTAACAAAAAACAAAAACAAATAAGTTTTTTTTTCTTTTCTACATTTTGCTATTCATTTTTGGTTCAACTAAAATTGAAAGCAAAAAATCCTGATCAGTTTATATACTTTGTGTGGTTATTTTTCAATCCAGTCAAGTAATAAATTAAAACATGCATTTGTTCAAAGCTTAATATTTGCAAACAAGCACACGAATTTTCAGGCGCCACAAAGGAAAAGGGCCAAGAGAGAAGATCTCAAAATCGGTGGCTGAATCAACCAACAGCCGCCAGCGGGTGCGAGTGGGCTACTTTTTGTTTGAGAAAGAACCCTTCAGATTAACCCCCAGAGGGGTGGAATTAATTCAACACCAGCCGAGCAAACCCTGCAGGCTTTGAAGATTCCCTTTCGCGGTGGAAAACCGGCTCCTTTTTATTATTAGCCTCTTCTTTGTGTGGAAACTTATTGATGCACTTCTTTCAAAGTAAAAAAAGCAGAATCCTCTCGGCCACTTTTTTCCCGCACTCACCGAAGACGCAAATTAAATCGAGCTCATCCGCGTCAAAAGGCGTGAATCCATTCCTTCTTCTTCTTCTCTTGAAAATTCTAATTATCGCGCAGAGAAGAAAGAATAAAAGTTGATTCGCCCCATAAATACGCACCCTTGGAATCACCTCGACTGCGCGAGAAGAATAAATTTTCTTTTCTCATCTCCAGATCGTTTAGAAGGAAAATCTCTCATTTTCACGTGAACATTGACAAGCCGGGCTTTTTTACTCACGCAGGATTATTTTGGTGGTTTTTCGGCCTTGGTAAATTCCTCTCTCATGAATATCAGCTTTACGAGGAGCGCATTATTTATCGCACACGGCTGACGTCACCGCAAAGCTCCCTTCCGAGAGCTTTCCAAAGCGATACAAGCAAGATATCGCAAAAAACCCACACGGAAATAAATATGAAATCTTCCTATGGAAAACTTGCTCAAAAATTCTATGCATTCAAAATTTCTCCAAACCATATAAAAATGTTTAAAACACTCGGGATTTCACTCCTTTCATTAGAGCGAAGAGCGAAGTATGGTAATGAGATACTTGCTTCCCTTATTCGCGTCCAATGACATTCCAAGAAAAAGAAAACTGCCTAAAGCTACCTTGTTAGCATAAGTAAGTCTCCTCAAAGTTCCTCAGACAGTGAAAATTGATTTTTTTCTCTCTCCATTCAACTGATAACTCGCTGGTGCTTCATCTTGCCTTTCATTAATTTCGAGAACAGGGAAGACGACGCATCTTTTGATTAATTTTCTGCTGTTTAAGATGAAGAAGTGTAATTCAATTACCTGAAAGCGGTGACGTGCAATGAGAAATGACTAATGAGGTGGATTTGACTTGATTTTCCTCATAATGATCGTGTTTCTCGGAAATACACA